TTTTTTATTGGTTCACTATATAGTATTCATTTTATATATTGTAGTGTATACCCAGTTACTGTGAATAGCTCAGATGTGTAGGCCTTGACTTCAACATAGCCATTTCTGTGACCAGTCACAAGCTAATCACTCAGTTATTTCAATAATAAATTCGCCTAGTTATTTAAATGCTAAATTCTCCTGTTTGATTTGTACTAGGTGCCTCTGTGAATGTGTATGCTCTGACTTTAACATAGCTATTTCTGTGACCAGTCACAAGCTAATCACTCAGCCATTTCAATGCTAGATTCTGTGCTAATTCCTTTGTCAAGGCGCTTTGTTTCTTCTCACACAGCTTAAAGGTCGCGATCTGAGCGTGGCTTTTTCACTCCAGCGCTGTCCTCCAGACAGTCTCGTCCCTTCACCTGATGAAGGCCACTTGTGTTGTGGCCGAAACGTCGTGAGAATATTATTGTGTTATTTTATTTTATCGATTTATTATTTTATTCTCATTCTACGTGACTTTACGGAAAGAACCAAAGAAGATGAATCCTTGCAGTCACGAAAGCTTTAAATCGAAAAGTAAGAAGGAATTAACCCATTAACGTGTCAAGGAGGACATGGCCATGCAAATAGTGTCGTGTCACGGCACCAGGATGGATCTGTTACATCACAGAACTGAACAGAGATTGAGGTTAGATCTTGGGAAGGCCTTCGTCCTGCAGTTGATTGATAATGACTGATCATGAATCGATCAGTGGTGCTGGCACTTCTGGTGTACTCTTGTCCAACTGAGTGATGTCTTCTTGTTGTTCCCGAATCGGCCGTGTTCTTTGTATTGGTCAATGCCCCTCCCCTCTCTGCCTACGTACGGTGCGAAATAAGTTCAACGTACATAATACACAGAGTAGATAGATTATCGATTATCTTGTGGCTTGGAGGACGGGCGCCGAATTTTTAAAAAACGCCGGATAATCACTAAACATATTTTTTTTAAATAGCTTATTTTTGCACATCCTTGCATATCATTGTGTTTTTAGGTGTTGTGTATGGTGTTTTTTGGGTGTTTTAAATGTTTACAATTTGAAATTGGCATAAAAAATAAACATCCTACTTTAAAAAGTTACCGTATTTACTCTACCGTACTCATCAACTCCAATCTCGAAGACTCTGTGCAACGGGTGGGATGTATATACGTGCAGCATTTTCATTGTTTAAGTGTACCGTATATCATAATTTAAACACTGAAATCAAGCGTGGCTACTCTGTCACACACACACGGTGCCTTTTGCCGGACTGGTTACGGCCTTTGGAGCCGTTTCGCCGGATCGGCCCGGGGCTGCCGGATAACGATGAAAACAACCGGAATAATTCGATGACCAACAGGATTATTTTCATCGCTTAAGTTCTATGTAGTGTATAATGTACTGTATGCAATATTTAAAACACTGACATCAAGCGTAGCTGGGTTTTTGTTTTGTCTGTCACGCCACATGGTGCTGCCGATCGCCTTTGGAGCGGTTTCGTCGGATCGGCGCCAGACCGCCGGATAATGTTGGAAGCAACCGGAATAATTGTCGCGCGGTGCCGGATAACCGATGAACCAGCTGTACGTGCATTTGTAAGTCTCTGCTGAGAAACCGCCGCAACTTCGGCAATGAATGCGTAAACAAAACAAACTAAAAATCCTCACACCGAATACATTTTGGAAAAAAACTAATTTTGTAATCCAACAACAATCATCCGCAGCACCTTTAGTCAATGGGCCCTTTGACGAAGGCGCTTCCTTCCCCCTTCCACGCGTTGTTTGTTCGACCGGGTCAGTGAAGTGGAGGGAGGCGCGAGGTTGCAACACTGCTTCAGGCGTCAGCACTCCACCATTGATGTTAATCACGACCCCGACAAGGCGCACGGGTTACATGGGGCGCGCCAGCATATAGCACCGTGCACGAAACCACCATCCCGATGTTTAGTATGTACATATATTAAAATAAATAATGGTGCTCCCATATTTTATTTCTTTTCTGGAAACAATCGCTGTGCGTCAGCGACACTGTGGATTCATTATTTTGCCATACCTGTAATTAAACTAGGAGTGCAAGGGGCTGCGACAACACCTAATCTCTTATTCATATTCTTGGTTCTTTCGGTAAAGTCACGTAGAAGGGAAACAATAAAATAATGAAACTATAAAACATATATTTTTTTATATACATAACATATATTTTTAAACATATATTTTATATTTTTATTATTTTATTTTTTCCCTTCTACGTGACTTTACCGAAAGAACCAAGAATATGAATCCCTGCAGTCACGAAAGCTTTAAATCAAAACCTAATCTCTTCTTTAATGGCTGAAAACGCCACTTACGCAAGAGACGAGGCACATTTTCAGAATAATCTCAGAGCATGTGCCCCACGCACACGAGATGCTGCCCCTGTGTGGGATGGCCAAAACACGCCGGACTTGCAACGCAGCGGTGACCGACGGGATCGATCTCCCCCGGCACAGCAGCTGAAACAATTAACAACCGCTGCATCCTAAAATTGCCCCTTGCAGGAATACCAGGGTGCAACCGCAGTCAGCTGACCGGCATGTCGTATTTGTTGGGATGAAGTGTGGGTATACCCCCCACCCCCCCACACCTATTCCAAGACATCGGGCCAGCGTGGAAGAGTAGACCAAAGACACCCTCCAGAGGAGCTCTGTAGAGGAGCTCCGTCCCTCCAGTCGAGGCCCTTCTGCCTCGCTGTGACGTGATGCAAGAAATTACAGGGTCGCACCTGTACCTGATCTGTTGGTGAGACTGTACCTTTATCACGTTTGTCTATAATTAAACTGGAGTGCGGGTATCTTGTGACACGGCGGCTCTACGTCTTCTCTGGTGAAAACACATTTGAACTCAAGGGGACAATTTGTGTCTTAATGTGTCTAATACGCGCGCACACAGCTCCCAATATACAACAAAACACCCTTAATAGAATGGTCGTCGTGAGCAAGTGTCGGTTTGATATATTACAGTCTTTAACCGTCGGCATGCACCTGGAGAGAGGCAACTCGTGGGTTTTTTTGTTCTACTCACGTGGTCAGTGACACCGTCTGAAACACGTGGAAATGCATTCGCGTTGAAATCATTGTCACTGGAAGGGCCCCCACAAGAGGGAGCTCTTGCAAGCCCCTACGGAGAGTTGTTTTTACATAACTCTCACACGCTGTCCAGATGTCTTGCAAGAGGTGTAAAATACCCACACTGCCCCCACCACACGATCCGCTGAGGTGTACTCATACTGCTGGTTGTAAAGAGGCGGGGGGCGGCGGGGAGGGGGAGATTCAAGAAACATGCCCATTGTTTCAGCTGCCGCGCCAAGAGATTGAACCTTTGACCTCTGGAATGCAAGTCCAGTGTGCTAACCATTACAGCACGGCAACATTCCATTTTTCTTCTTCAGGAAACAACGATTTTAAAATGTCTCGAAATGCTAATGTCAAGGTATGCCAGGAGGCATGAGTTCGCCATAATAACCAGACTGGACTTTAAAGAGACGCAATCGGGTTACGTACAATTCTTTGTTGATTGTTTGTCTTTTTTTTTGTTTAACCTCAAATTTATACCGATTGTGCTATCATTGTCGGCTTCATGAGACGAAGCATCCATTCGGATCTCTCACGGGGGAATGCGACGCTTCGTGGTAAGAGTGCGGGCCACAAGGAATATAAACCATCACGTGGACTCCAGTCATCCTCGCAACAGCGGCATTTGGCTAACCATCGAACAAAGACGGTCACCGCATCGCGTGCTTTCGGATGCGCTTCTAAGGCCGTCTGGAACGCTCTTCCTTCCGATATTAGGAGGCCACCAGAGCTATGCACTTTTAAAACGAGATTGAAAACTGATTTATTTAAAACTGCTTTTTGTGTTTAGTTTGTTGTCCTTCCCCCGCACCTCCGATTAGCACGGTTGGCTACGTACGGTGCAAAAGAAGTTCAAAATACGTACAAAGTTCCCTTCAAGTGACCTCTGGTCCAGACAGTAGGGACCATCACTTTCCCACCAACTCTGCCACTGCAACAAAGAACAATGTGTTTGTAGCAGGACAGTGAAGTCGGTATGTTTCATTCTCAAAGCTAGAATTTCGCCAAAATTCAACGTGGAACCAAAATGTCAAGTGTTTGGTTTTTTTCACCCCCCCCCCCTCCCCCTTTGTGACCTGGCTCAGACCATCAACCGGTACTGCACTTGAAAAGCCAGTTCAATCACGGGCGCCTACCCCAATGCGATCGCAGCATCTCGGCAGTAGCCAGCTCAGTTGCTTGATATCTAATCTTCTGAGCCACTCATCCATTTCTCATACAATTCCCCCCTCGCTCCACCCTATTTTTTTTAAAGCAAACACCAAAAACAATCACTGCATTTACGATGCCAAATAGCCATACAAAATCTTCTTTGGTTCTTTCGGTAAAGTCACGTACAATGAGAATAAAATAATAAAATAACACAATAAGATTCTTACGACGTTTCGGCCACAACGCAAGCAGCCGTCTTCAGGTGAAAGGTACAGACCTGTCGGGACGACAGAGCTTCAATGAACGATGTTAAGATTCGTAGCGACTTTTAAGCTGGTTGGGAGAAATGAGGCACCTTGACAAAGGGGTTTACATATCAAATAGCTGAGCTGAGCTATTTGCACAAGCTAATCCCTTAGCTATTTCAATGCTAAATTACTAGTTGCCTCTGTGGATGTGTAGGTTTTGACTTTAACATAGCCATTCCTGTGACCAGTCACAAGTTAATCCCTCAGCTATTTGATATGTAAACCCCTTTGTCAAGGTGCCTCACTTCTCCCAACCAGCTTAAAAGTCGCTACGAATCTTAACATCGTTCACTGAAGCTCTGTTGTCCCGACAGGTCTGTACCTTTCACCTGAAGACGGCAGCTTGCATTGTGGCCGAAACGTCGTGAGAATTTTATTGTGTTATTTTATTATTTTATTCTCATTCTACGTGACTTTACCGAAAGAACCAAAGAAGATGAATCCTTGCAGTCACGAAAGCTTTAAATCGAAACCATACAAAAGATTATAAAAGTATCCGCCGCTCTGTCCCAAGTCCCTCGCTGTGCGGCGCAACTGATAAACTTTTGTTCGTGCCCGTGGTTCATTGTAAACAAGAAATCTGGTCTGGCGGGTTAGCCGAGGTATGTGTGTCGTTCTAAAAATACACCTTTTACTGGCACCAGTGACGTGGGTTGCGTCAGCATGATAATGTTGCGATTATCCCAGGCGAGCCCGTGGTAGAAAAACACTGAAAAACCCCAACGGCAGTTCAGGTCAAAGCAAGTCGCTGTCACGAGGCTTGGGGATGAGAAGACTCACTGGGTTGAAGCTCCAGAGACTCGCAAAGATTCAAGATCTTGACAGCTGGTGAGATGGCTCTGTCGACTCCGATTTAAGAAGTCGTTGTAGTTCAATGTACACCCTGTACATTTTATAACCCGTTAAAAACGCGACCGAGGCTATAACCGGCATCGTATCGTAAGAATGTGGAATGTTTTGCCTCAACGGCGCGGCTGCTTTGTTTCTTTCTTTCAGGTGATGCGCGCATGTTGATGACTTGAAGTGCAAAGAAGAACACAGAATCAAGGGGCTTGTACGCCCTCGCCACTGGGTCACGTGTCGCACATTCGAGCTCTTGTTCGCGACGGTGCAATGTACGAGTCGAACGCTTCTGAATGCCACGGTGCCGACGCAGAGGGCTGCGCTTGCAACGACGCGGAGGCCGGACGGAGCCCCGCTTTGGCCGTCGGTGGCAGTCGAGATGCCGACGCCGATTTGACCCCGACGAGCATCAATCCGTTTGCAGCGTGCGCACCTCCTGCAGGTGCGAGTCCGTCGACTCGAAGCCTCGACGAAACACCGCCGCCTGCGAACGGCGCCGGTGAGCAGGCGCGCGTTTCGGAGACTCACGTGGTGAACACGTCCGGAATCGGTGTCAGCGCTGGTCCCGCGCCACCTGACCCAGGGAATGAAAACAGCGCGCGCGAAATACCATCGCGTTACAAACCGCCCGAAAACGCACCGCGGGCGGGCGACGCTGTTGAGATATCATTCGTTGAGCCCGGCAACGACTTTGTGGACTTGTCAGAGCGGAACGCCGTCGCCGCTTTAAGCGTGGACCAACTGCCAACCCCCATCGTGATCGGCTGCGATCTGTTGCTGGAGGCTGCATGTCAACGAGCCACTCCGACTGTGCAGCCGGACAAACTTTCGCTCGCTGAACGTCCACCTTCCTCCAAAAACGGCGACACGGTCCCTGACGGAGCACCCGCGGAATGCAAAGTTTCGCTGGAGCAACGACAAGGTTCTGTCACGCTAGACGTGCGGCCCACCAATGGATCTGTGCGCTTAGGTCGCTGGAAAAGTTTTAGGAATTCGCTCGGCGCTAACAGCCTGTCTGTTGAAAGTTCAATCATAAGCGACACCGAATCTTACATTCTCACACTCGGCAGGAAAGCCAGCGCTTGGGTATCAAACGAGACTTACGTTCATGATTCTCAGCAGCAATATAATCATCATCAGCAGCAGCAGCAGCAACAGCGTGGAACTGCAAGTGTTCCACCAGCCAAGAAAGCCAGTCCACACAAGGAGAGATTTTACAGATTTGGAAAGACTGTGCTGTGGGTGCTCTTCGCGATATTTTTGGTCGCTTTGTCACCACTCATCATGATCGGATATGGGATTTACGCCGTCATTAACTGTATCGCTTGTCCAAAAGAAAGGTCCAATGACACGGTCACCTAAACTACTGGTTACAAAAGCTGCGTCCCGAATACATCTGTCAAACCAGATATCTCCGAGTGACAGTATCTGTCTGCGGGAAATCGCATGTCCAAGAACAACATTTTCACAATAATATTGTAAGGGGTTTTTTTTTTAATCAAGACTGCATCGATAACATCTCGCAAGTTATAGCCAACAGTGCAAACTTAGTTACATTGCTTGGCGCCCCTGTTTACTTCATCAACAAATCCGTGCACCATGTGTAATTCGTATATAACGGGAAATAATAATTATCATCTATGTATACAGAGGGGAGTGCGGGTGGTAGTGGTAAGTGTAGTGCGATACGAACACAGGTGACTTGAGTTCAATTTTCAACGAAAAGATAGCATCAGCCCTAAATTATTAGCTGGTGCAGTGAATTAAATTTGTGGTGCTGGCCACCTCGCTATTCGACTGTGTGTGAGCATGGAGCTATCGCTGTATATACACAATATGTGCATGTACATAATATAATAGGTTTGACTTTGCAAACGGTAATTCAAATTGTTAAACACCAATGTTTATCCTTTTGTAAAAAAAAAATTATATCAAATAAAATACTCTGGAATGGAGGTTAACTAATGCAGCATGGCAAAACTATAATTATCAAATACCCCTCGAATGTTTTATTTTTTTTAAATAAAACTATTGTGTTAAAACCAAGCAATTCTAAGAGAGAGAGAGGGTGAGCTGACAACTTAAACTGTCAGGGTTGTGGAATGGCCGGGTACTTTCAACCGAACGCAGCTACCCTTGTGGAGAAGCTGTCATTTTCAATTGTCGAGGTCGAGTTTTGACCCTTTCAATCTGGAAATTTCACCTCCAGCACAGGCCCGTGGCAGGCTTGGGGCATTTTGTGGACAGAAGCCTCTGCTCTGTCAGCTACAACCGGTCGAAGGCAGGCGATCCCCACGTGTCGTTCTGCTTTTGGTAAAATCCAGTCGACAAACTGCAGGTGTTACATTCACGGATGTTAATGCACAATTATCTATACCTGCATAACTTGTATTGGTCAACTAGTCGCATTTAAGCACACAAACGTGCAAATTACTTACAATGTCTCGATCGCGCTGTATATAGCACGCAAATGAGGTTGATGGTTTGAACTGCGTTCTGTTAGGCGTGATGTCCAATGTTTCGCACCGTGGTGGGGAGGTTCTCTTTCAGGAACTAAATTCAGTGCATATTAAATTCGAATGCAGCTCCCAAACAAGCCACCGAGCACGTGGACATCGTGGCGAACAAAAACGCGCGGTACAACCCCAACACCTCATCGGAGAGCTGTACAAGTTATTTCTTACCTGTGTGGCAATTTTACATGGCCACAATTACGCGGTGATGATATACAAACGTCCAAAAATTCGCTCTGTCTGCATCATCGGCAGTCATTATTACACAGGCACACACACACACATACATTTGCAGTTCGATTGTGGAATGCACAATTTTTTTGCTCAGGGATGTCCAAATCCCACTGCCGTTCTCAAGCATGCATGGCCACAATATGCCAAATGACTCCCCCCACCCCCGCCTCTCCAATGAGTAAACACAGGCTGTGGTGCAATTAGTAATAATATACAAGGTAATCAATATGACGGGGACAAAGGATGAGTTGGGTCAAGGGGGTCATCATAAGGCCTCAGTAAAGCCTCATTTCTCATAAAGTGGTCTTCTTGGCCAAATCCTGTTTATATTCCGGTCAACTCGACATTTTAACTTCCATTTATATATTCCACCGCGAAGCAGTTGGAAATATATATAAAATCAAACATTTTCAAACATTTACAAACATTGTGAACAATTGCACGTAATGTACCCTAATACATTAAAGATTGCGTGTATTTTACATAGCTGTGCATCTTGAATGCAAATGGTTAGCATTAGTATGCATGGGCGTTGTACGACAATAAACACAGCGTGGAGTTTCAAAACGTAAAAGAGCTCAAAGACCGCAGCCTCCTCAAAAACCCACGCAGGGCGTTGTGGATGTTGAATTCGTTTCCAGCGCCTCTAGTTACACAGGATCGTGTATTTCTTCAGTGCGAGATATCTTAGCAGTTATTACGTGTGTTATCATTGCTCCGCTATACAGCATCCCTGTACGAAAATGAAACTGTGATTTATTTATTTTGCTTTTATGGTTACAATGAGTAAAATGGTAATATTTTTTTATGTTGCTATCATGTAATTATTTTACCGGGGGGGGAGGGAGGGGGGTGGTGTCCCTTGTTTGTCCACTCTACAATCAGCTACTGTGAAATAAATGTCTTCAAATGTGGTCTCGTTTGTCCATTGATCAATGTAAAAAGCACGGCATTGCCAGTGAGAGCTTAAGAGGAAATGGTGGGCGTGTGTGGCAAGAAGCGAGACTCGCGCACAAGGAAAGGGTGAGACACCTAAGAGCGTTCACATCCTATGCTCATCAGTGTCACACAGACCTTTCAATAGTGATGTACACCCAGGAAAGGAATGCACATGTTCACCATTGTTCAGATGTTTGTGCAAATCCAGATATACAGGAACTCCTCTGCTTACGAATATTCGACTTACTAACTTTCAAAACTGTCCCGTATGTCGTCCAGTTGCCTATTCGGACCGAGAATCGCAAGTTCAATTGCCGCGCAATAGATGTCGGTGGTGGCATCTGCATCTACAGGAGATTATACAACTTTTAAGGCCATTCTCCGTGTTTAGTACACATGACGTACAACATGTTTGGAATCGACAGGAGTAAAGTTGAACTTACGAAACAACTCGACTTACATACCCCTGAAACCCAACTCGTTCGTAGGTAGAGGAGTATCCAAAAAAAACTTATGAATGACTGCTTTCTTGTACGAGTAGAGAGTCATTTGTCAAACGAGTGCTGTATGAGGGCTTCCTCCACGCCGTCTGTTTGGATGTACTTCAAGTGCGGGTTGGTCGAATGGGGATGAGGCCCAGGTACGGTTCAGAAGGCGGGGAGTATAGGAATACAGACATCATACAGTACAACAGTGGGGTCTCCTCTCCAGGGCTCTCTGCAGCGCACCGCATTACCCTGCAGGCTGTAAACAGATGTTCTTGTACGGCGGTAAACCATCGAAGCAGAATTCACTCAGCCCTGCTTGGCTTGGGATGTGACGAGATCGGGTGCATCCTGGGTAGTGAGTTGGTCATAGGAAGCTTGCCTTATTAATAGTAAATTGCATTTTAACCGTATACTACAGTATAATTACACATATTAAAGAATGGTCATCGTTTAAAGGTTTTAAAATGTAAATAAATTCAGTGTTCTCTAATCCGATGACAGAAATATTAACATCTCGTTTTCAATGGACACCCGAGGGAAAATGCCAGGACAGATTATCGTCGATTGCTTTCAAGGTAGTTTACTGCTCACACAAGGCGTGGGGCGGTGGTCACCACGAGCTGGCAATAAAAATTCCACATTTCTGTGGCAGAGGCAAGCCTATCCACGCAGGCCACCACTGTCGGTTTCCCACAAAGTGACACTCACCCTGTCGACCTCACTGCAGAGAAAGACCAAGCTGATCCCCAACCAGGATTTCAACTCGCGAGCTTTCAGATCGCGAAGCTGTGTGCGCAAACCACTGCACCACACGGGCAGTAATGTTTGGCTAACAGACGTTGAAGGAAATATTGAAATTAGCTTTTGTCAGTGGACCCATTTTGTAAGTAGAGTATATACAATATTAGGCGGTCAGAATGCTAGGAAAAACACCTAGTTGCTACTTGCGTGGGAGGATAATTTAACCAAGAAAAGCCTCACTCGGTCTGAAGACTTTTCAGGAGAAGAATGCACATTGGGATGTTTGCCTAATAATGCCTTTAATGAAAGGGAGGCAATGCATCATTGATGTGCGAGCATAATACAGCACAATTAATTTCGCGACACTACCCTCTGCATGCCGCTGACGGTGTGAATGAAAACACCTTTGCTCATTGTGTCACTTGGAGCCTCTGGATGTTCCGTGTCTTATTAACGTTTGAAGAGTTTCTCCCCACGTAAAATGTACACCTGGATTATCAACAACAACAAGAAAACACGAAAGAAACCCGATTAATTCCAAAGCAATGTTGTGCGTCTCTCTCTGCTTGTGTGTCTATGTTGTGTGTCTGTGTGTCTATGTTGTGTGTCTATGTTGTGTGTCTGTGTGTCTATGTTGTGTGTCTATGTTGTGTGTCTGTGTGTCTATGTTGTGTGTCTGTGTGTCTGTGTTGTATGTCTGTGTGTCTATGTTGTATGTCTGTGTGTCTATGTTGTGTGTCTATGTCTGTGTGTCTATGTCTGTGTGTCTGTGTGTCTATGTTGTATGTCTGTGTTGTGTGTCTGTGTTGTGTGTCTGTGTGTCTATGTTGTGTGTCTATGTTGTGTGTCTGTGTGTCTATGTTGTGTGTCTATGTTTGTGTGTCTATGTTGTGTGTCTATGTTGTATGTCTGTGTTGTGTGTCTGTGTGTCTATGTTGTATGTCTATGTTGTGTGTCTGTGTCTATGTTGTGTGTCTATGTTGTGTGTCTGTGTTGTGTGTCTGTGTTGTGTGTCTATGTTGTATGTCTGTGTGTCTATGTTGTGTGTCTGTGTGTCCATGTTGTGTGTCTATGTTGTATGTCTGTGTGTCTATGTTGTGTGTCTGTGTGTCTATGTTGTGTGTCTATGTTGTGTCTATGTTGTGTGTCTATGTTGTGAGTCTATGTTGTGTGTCTGTGTGTCTATGTTGTGTGTCTGTGTGTCTATGTTGTGTGTCTATGTTGTGTGTCTGCGTGTCTATGTTGTGTGTCTATGTCTGTGTGTCTATGTTGTGTGTCTGTGTGTCCATGTTGTGTGTCTATGTTGTATGTCTGTGTGTCTATGTTGTATGTCTGTGTGTCTATGTTGTGTGTCTATGTGTCTATGTTGTGTGTCTATGTTGTGTGTCTGTGTTGTGTGTCTGTGTGTCTATGTTGTATGTCTGTGTGTCTATGTTGTATGGCTGTGTGTCTATGTGTCTATGTTGTATGTCTATGTTGTATGTCTGTGTGTCTATGTGTCTATGTTGTGTGTCTATGTTGTATGTCTGTGTGTCTATGTGTCTATGTTGTGTGTCTATGTTGTATGTCTGTGTGTCTATGTTGTGTGTCTATGTTGTGTGTCTGTGTGTCTATGTTGTATGTCTATGTGTCTATGTTGTGTGTCTATGTTGTATGTCTATGTTGTGTGTCTGTGTGTCTATGTTGTATGTCTGTGTGTCTATGTTGTCTGTCTGTGTTGTATGTCTGTGTGTCTATGTTGTATGTCTGTGTTGTATGTCTGTGTGTCTATGTTGTGTGTCTATGTTGTATGTCTGTGTGTCTATGCTGTGTTTCTCTCTCTGTGTGTCTGTGTTGTCTCTCTCTCTGCTTGTGTCTGTCTGTGTGTCTATGTTGTATGTCTGTGTGTCTATGTTGTGTTTCTCTCTCTGTGTGTCTCTGTGCTGTCTCTCTCTGCTTGTGTGTCTGTCTGTGTGTCGATGTTGTGTGTCTCTCTCTGTGTGTCTGTGTTGTCTCTCTCTGCTTGTGTGTCTGTCTGTGTGTCTATGCTGTGTGTCTCTCTCTGTGTGTCTCTGTGTTGTCTCTCTCTCTCTGCTTGTATGTCTGTCTGTGTGTCTATGTTGTGTCTCTCTCTGTGTCTCTGTGTTGTCTCTCTCTGCTTGTGTCTGTCTGTGTGTCTATGTTGTGTGTCTCTCTCTGTAGTTCTACCTGATGACGACTGCTTGTGTTGCAATCGAAACATCGTTCTCTATTAGTCAATTTATTTTCTTTCTACGTGACTTTACCGAAAGAACCAAAGAGTAGCAATGATCGTGTTACGAAATCGGACTTTCATTTCGATCGATCGTGATCGGGGCAATGTTAAGCCGATCTCCCGAAATCTTTTCGGCAGATCGGAGTGAGATGGAGATTAATGCAATTTTCCATTAAGACTCCATCGGATGGGATAACAAACCTTTCGCACTCGCCTTGTGAGATTTCACGCGAATGGACGAAATTTAGGGGCCCTCGGTGGCAACGACCTAAGGGGTCGTCCATAAATGACGTCACGCACCTGGGAGGGGGGGGGGTCAGACATTTGTGACGATGTGTGACGAGGGGGGGGGGTTTGAGAAATGTGACGTCACATCAAAATGCGCAACTTTAAATAAATATAGACAACACGTTCTACTTAATTATAGTCATTTTAATAAATGTTTTCTGCTACAACATCAGAGTGCAGCGCCACATTAAATACGCACTACAATGACAATAATTTAAAGCGATTAGAAGCATGTTTCATTTTGGGGGAGGGGGGGGGCAGAGCTTTGTGACGTCATATTTGAGGGTGGGCCTGACTTTTTGTGACGCCGTATGACGAACGGGGGGGGGGGGTCAAAAATCGTCCAAAATCGCGTGACGTCATTTATGGACGGCCCCTAACCCTATAAATTGGGTAGCTATTTGTCACGCCAACCAACAGCGGGCTGTTCACTTGAACAATAATAATCGAAATATCTTCAAACATACTGCACAGATGCGTATTTTCACACGCACAAATGCAGCACAAGTTTTTTTTTACTTTAAACGCCGAATTACGTGATGCAGATATATCCAAATGTGAACACGTGTTCCCACAATTTTACTCAATTTTAATGATACAAGAGAGTAACCATGGCCCCCTATTGCCAGCAACTTGGCAACAACAACACAAACTCCAGAAAAAATAAGTTATGAGACTGTGGCTTTTCGGGGTAAACAAGCATGATAATTTTCGATTTAAAGCTTCTGTGAATGTGTATGCTTTAACTTTAACATAGCCATTTCTGTGACCAGTCACAAGCTAATCACTCAGCCATTTCAATGCTAAATTCTATGCTAATTCATTTGTCAAGGGGTGCCTCTGCGGATGTGTATGCTTTAACTTTAACATAGCCATTTATGTGACCAGTCACAAGCTAATCACTCAGCCATTTCAATGCTAAATTCTATGCTAATTCCTTTGTCAAGGCGCTTTGTTTCTTCTCACACAGCTTAAAGGAGCGTGGCTTTTTCACTCCAGCGCTGTCCTCCAGACAGTCTCGTCCCTTCACCTGAAGAAGGCCGCTTGTGTTGTGGCCGAAACGTCGTGAGAATATTATTGTGTTATTTTATTTTATCAATTTATAATTTTATTCTCATTCTACGTGGTGACTTTACCGAAAGAACCAAAGAAGAAGCATGATAATCTTTCTTCACCTTGTCGGTACGTGGAGTTGGGGCGACCTCTTGTGGGTGGCTTTGTTGTTGGCCGCATCCATGCACCCGTATTAATAAACGTTTTCTATTTTACCAGCTCCCAGGTCGCTTCTGGCCACAAATGGGAGCTCAACGAAGTGGCTTATCACATTAAACATGTATAGAAGCATCCAAATACTGTAAATGCACGTTTCTAAATGTGGAGGGGGAAAACCGGAGGACCACGGGGAGAAAAGGACATGCACACTCCAAATATACAGGCATCAGGATCGGGATCGAAACCACAGGATCGGGATCGAAACCACGACCCTCCTGTATAGCAGGCGAGGGAGTTGACATCTCGCCACCGTAGCGCCCATGTTAAGTGGACGCATGCTCCTCACACTATCCCTTTACCATAGTAAATGAGTTTGGTGATCGACTGTTGGAAAGAGAGACAGGTGACGAGTAGGATATCGGGACTGGTTAATGGGATGCTTGGCATGACAGATGCTTGCACTGTTTTTTTTTACGTGGATATGAACCGTGTTATTACATTTGGAAGGAGAAGATTTGGATGAGTTTGCCCACATTCCGTGGACTCAAATTATTTTGGTAATTGCTGCCTCCGTTGGCAGTGGTGCACTAGGACACAAAAATAACACACACAAAACCCCACACTCATCAATAATACTGCCCCAAAGTAACAAAAATAACATAGGCGACGTTTTGGGCAATGGCCCTTCCTCATAGCACATGAAGGAGGACAATTCAGCTATAATATATTTCCTTTTAATATCACAGTGTTATTTACGAATGTGTTGATTTTTTTCTACCACATCATATAACACGCTTCCCAGGTCCATGGCCACACAAAAAGAATGCCAGAACGAAGCAAAGAACGCCAGCCGCTTTACGCATGGACAGCAAGCAAAATCCAGTCTTAGTTTCTTCGGCATGTTTTAATGAACATATTGTGTGCTGGAACAGCACTGCCATTGTATTTATTTTCCTGCAAACACTATTTTGTTTTCATGAACTAGTAGAGAGAAAAAGCACAGTCTGGAGGTTGTATATATTCATTAGAGACATACAGTATATCCGATTTACTGGTTTGCCGTAAATTGTAGTGTAACTTGACAATGCCGTTTAAACTAAAAAAAAATCACAAATTTGTTTTAACATTTGTAAGTTTCAGCGGAAATACAGCGGTGCATGAGATCTACGGTGAGCGTTTATATTTCGTGTAGATGCATTCCTTTTTTGTGCGAACTGCCGAGTATAATGTAGAGGCAATGCGTACATACCTCAAACACGGAGAGCACCTTTTTAATTCACGTATAATATCCTGTATTATGTACATATGACCTAGGGGCGAAATAAAAATGTACCTTTTTTGTAGCAGCAAGAATGAACCCGGCCCATTCCCAATTGGCCGCACGATCAAGCCCAGTTGACCTCGAAGTCAATATCTTTCATATGAATAATACATTTAGGAGCTGCAGGTGAATTCAGATCTCACCTCTGCCTTGATACCGATACACGATGAAGTCCTCTTGCCGTATGGCATTGTCCGACTGGTTTATCCAGAGGAGGCGTCTGTTAAATATGCAGCTGCCCTTGAGGTGGCTGAGTGAGTGGCTCCGGGATGATTAAGCCCGCCGAGGTGGTGTCGGAGAGCGTTTGTATCGCCCGGTATAGCTAACAATATTAATTCCCAATAGGAAGCAATGTTTCGGAATAACATCGCCCGGTATAGCTAACAATATTAATTCCCAATAGGAAGCAATGTTTCGGAATAACATTCTTTTATTGAGGAATTTTGTAAATATTGGTTTCCCTTCCAAATATTTGTACCTTAGTTTTTTTGTAAAATTGCATCTAGGTCCATATACGTGTGTATTCAACTTACAACCTGAATTTTACAACTTACTTTTAAACAATTGCAAATTTCAGTGTCAATTTTTTTATTAATTACACCGTCTCTTTTCTCCCTAATAGTCCCTTTCTTTGCATGAACTCAAATATCCCTTCCAATTTGCGGTACAAATATTTGCTCCAGGGGGTAACTAATTGAGAATTGACATAACCAATGTTTACTTTCCACATTATCGCCGACCCACCCGTTACTACACTCGGTCCTTAACCGAGGAAGTTGATGGTCTCGGGTCAGTTAGCAATGAGGGCACACAACAACAACAAAACATCAAATTGCGTTTTCATTCAATGATGACAAAATATGTGAGAAATCGTTGCGACTCCCGTGCAACACAGAGAGACGCAGTGCCATCGACTTGGAGTGTACTTTGAATAAGAGGTTACTTGAAGGGACTTCACATATTTGGTTCTGTGATATCACCTTGTGTGTCGGGCCATTCTCCACTATAGTACGGGGCCCATAGCACATTTGGAAGGGAGTTGGGTTACATGTTTAGCTCTCAGTGTAGTTTGGTCAAATGTATCCATAAGTCTTAAACGTGCAGCTTTTGAGTATTTGTTGTGAATCCATAGCATGTTGTAGAACAAATATCAACCCAAAAATCAACCCACTGATATTGTGAATGAGACTCCATCCATTATGCACGACGAAGCAGGCCAAAACAACTGCAACATGAATTTGGCAGAATCGCTTTATTTAATTATGGCATTAAGTGATTGCATAACTCGGTAACAATTATGATTCCATTCGTTTTGCACAAAGTTCAATGTCATTTAATCGTTAAGAGCAAGACCAGGAGAGAAAAAATATTACATGCTCCGGTTAAATCAATAGTTCTACTTTCGAAAATACAGTATGTTTTAAAGTTACATATAATACCATAGAATAGGGTGCCCTATAAACCAATATTAGCATTATTCTTGGTTCTTTCGGTAGTCACGTAGAAGGGAAATAATAAAATAATAATAAAACTAGATAAAATTCTCACGACGTTTCGGCCACAGCGCAAGCAGCCGTCCTCAGGTGAAGAAACAGAGCTGTCGGAAAGACAGCGTCCTAATAAAAAATAAAACATAATATAATAAAATTCTCACGACGTTTCGGCCACAATGCAAGCAGCTGTCCTCAAGTGAAGAAACAGAGCTGTCGGAAAGACAGCGTCCTAATGTTTCTTCACCTGAGGACGGCTGCTTGCGTTGTGGCCGAAACGTCGTGAGAATTTTATTATATTATGTTTTATTTTTGATTATATTATTCTTTTCCTTCTACATGACTTTACCGAAAGAACCAAGAATATGAATCCCTGCAGTCACGAAAGCTTTAAATCGAAATATTAGCATTGTTACCATTACTGTTGCAGCATTGCATACCCATAAGAAAATGAATTGACTGTGAAAAAGCTTGTCGCCCATTTTAAACAGAACAGTAAAATCAGGGTTAGATTGCTGGTCTGAAGCTACAGACAAGCATTCTAAAACACAATGCATCTCCAATTCGTAAAAAAAAAACCTCACTAATTTGCTGTCTGGTGGAAGTGGGCATACGACACATGGATATTGGTCGTGAAAGCCTCCATGTTAAAAAGGTGCTACATTTCAAGTAACATTAATATGATGACTTCACGGTGAGCACATGGTCAATGTCCCACTCATGACTTTAAAAGCGGCAAACACTGGCTCTGTGAATGCCGTGCTGAATGTATGCAGGTGCGTCTTAACTAAACATACATTGTAAAAGGCAACAGTTCCTTTATCACAATTCAGCAGGACACCAATCCTCTTGAGGTTATCGTTAATCTGCAATGTCTCTTTATCCGCTCGATGATTGACCGTCACGGCACCAGAATTATTCTCAAGACACCATGATTTATCATTCCCACCCAGCTCGATTAAGGCACCTTTCCCTTTTCTCGGCAAGGAGCTGTAGGCAACTCCTACGGCCCACTCATTGCTCTCTTCCACACCAACTTCCCAGTAATGCTGCCCAAACGTGAAGCTCTCGCAGCTCAATGCTTGTCGCCAAAACGAAAACCTCTGGGGTATATCGGCGATCTCCTTTCTATTTTGGAACCTTGGCAGGCATACTTTCTTCCTGTCTTTGGCGACTTCAAGGTGGAAATGGGCTGTGTCTGAATCCACGGCGATGTTCCTGAAAGCTGCCATCAAAATCGTTAACATTGGTGAATGTCAACAACAACAAAAACATGAAGAGTCCATCTTATCTCGCAATTTTGCAGTTTGGTTTATAAATATTGTATGCATACATAAATGATGGGGCAGAGCAGTGGTGCCGTGGGTAGCAGCACTGTGCTCTGAATCCATTTACCCGAGTTCCATTCCCGGCCACGGCTAACATCAATGGCGAGTGATATTCTAACTTGTGCTGGGCAACCCCCCTTTACCAACTCGTACTGACCAGCATGGTTAATTATGGTAAAAAAAACCCTATGACCAACACAGTATGGCCACACCTACACATATAGCAATGGATATATTATCATATAAAAAATTCTACTTTACTTTATACTGTAATTGATGGGTATTTATCAATAGTTATCATACTTTAGGCCGCTTGCAATTGCAATTTATATCACAAATAAAGCACATCCAACACAATCAGCACAATCTGCGAGCATAGGAAATGCCTGAATCGTACATCCAGCGCCACTAATACTTTTCGTATTGCTATTTAAATGAAAATACAGGTTTCCGTCCCTTAGTGCGGGTTCAGTTTGGGCGATTTCACGTATAGGCAGCTAACCCTTTTTCTACTCAAAATATGCGGTTTGAAGTCACTCATATGCGGCTATGCAGTCGGACGTGGGACGACACTGCGTGTGTGCTGTGTACGCTACTCGGCAGGCAGCTGTCTCGTGCGGTTTTGCTTTTTGGGAATGCATCTACCGCACAAAGTGGGGGGTAACCTGTACACGCACAATTTTCCCCACCTCCTTTCAAATACTTACACATCATCATTTGGTTTCGATCCTTCCACTCCGTGATTTGAGAGGTTATCTCTGCAATAGAGCCTTTCAAATTGGCAAAGAGGTCTTTCGTCACAATTTGTGCTTCGGGCTGGCTCTTCATTGCCTTTTTGATCCTAAAATTAAATAAAAACATTAAAAGGATTAAAGATGGTGCATCAGGCGCGGTTCGTCCACTAGGGACGTCGGGGTACTGCCCCGCCAAGCAGCTGGAGATGAGAAATAGTTTTTTTCTAATAAGAATACTTTTCTATAAATTGTTTCGCTGTGTTAAAAAATAAGAACATAATGATTCTTTCAACGTAAATTGCCTAATGATGATAACATTTTAAGTTGTTCACATTAGAAACCGCTGCAACACCACAGTCTGATTTGTGCCGTGAGGAGGTCTCGGGGCTGCTGTGTAATCGTCCGAGTGAGAGATTTCCCCTTCAGTCGTTGCGAGCAGCTTCTCGCATTTTAGCCACGCCGTTTGAGACCCATTCAAGGCGGTGAAAAGGGCGCCCGTGGCTGTAATGAGAGACGATGTCACAGCGCGAGGTTGCACTGTGCAAATACAGCAGCTCACGGCCTACACGCTGTAGGCTTTTGGCAGTGCCAAAGGGGTTGTGTAGTGTGGACTTGAGGGTCATGGGGGACAGCATTTGAGTGCTTTGTTGTTTTGATTCGTATTGTTTATGAATGCCTACAGTTTAATAGATAAGACAGTTGCATCACTTTCACGGGAAGGCCAATAACATGACGGAAGTTTTTTCCTCATTAGAACACCATCTTTTCAGAGGTCACTCACAACAGCCCCACCTCGTGTATCATATGGTAGTGTTACTCCTCTAACATGAAATGGTGCTTCTTAATTAAAATTCTCTTTTTCCACGCGTTTAATTTGCACATTTGTATTATTTGTGTATTCCATATAAATCATTCCAGTACGATGTTTGCTAGTGTGCTTTTGCGGATTGCATTGCTACGCGTGAAAATTACAAATTGAACTTGGTGATACACGGACTGACGAAAGGATGGTCAACACCTAGAGATGTCAGGGTTTATTTTTAATAGTGATGCATTCGTATGTGAATTTGTGTTGCATTTAACCTATAATCTTCAACTGATATATAAAGACAGATGCCTCTTTTTCACTCATGTGCAGGACATTGGTATGCCACTAATGCAGATACGTTTCCTTTCTCGAACCTTACGGAAAGATGTCCCTTTCTGGCTATGTTAAAATTGTGTTTGCCTATCCGTCGGAATGGGTTGTGTGCAGTGACACGCATTCACCCAGAGCAGAGATCAATTCATGCACGAGCATGAAAGTCATATCGAGATACCATAATGACTCGGATGGATTAGCATTTCCTGCTGAAATTGAACCAAAGTTTACAGCTGTGACTGCAATATTGCAACATGCCCATTCACATTTACACAGTTGTAATGGAATTCCATAGCCCGCATTTGACCTTTCTGCATGCACGTGCATACCTTTCCTCCATGGCTTGAGACTCCTACAGCAGAAAAACAAGCATGCAAAAAATATATTATTTAAAAGGCATTAAACTTTTTTTAACATTGCAAATGCAGACATTTCACAGAATCTTAGTTGCATGTTGAATCACAAGTGACATTCATAAGTAGATTTGTTTTACAATTATATGTTTGTCACCTTTCTTAATTAGGCAGAGAGCACAGCAGAAACATGAAGGTACCACATGACAACTCACATGGTTTATCAGAATAAGTTAAAGGTAAGCTCGAAATTCTAATGGTAAGGACTTAGGAGTCCGTTTTTTTGTTGCAAAGTATTTGTATGTGTTACGTAGCAGTGCAATTTAATTCATTTGAAAGCATGTGTATGTATAATGTATGCTCTTAAATATGTTGCACACCAGCATGCACTAGCTTTACTTTAAAACATCCAGAAGGTGCTTTACCGAGGTTACAAGAAGTCAGCTTTGAAAATATAACAGACAAGAAGTCTGTTTCTTCACGTAAAAAAATGTTTTTTGTCCATCAGTCTATGGCCACTGTGGTCCCATGTTTCCCATCAGCATTTGCGATTAATTTAATATGGCAGAACAGCCTCCATATCTGTTCACTGCGGTCCATATCTTTGATCCTTCAGTACAGCCCACAAGTATCGTACGATTTAGGCGATGCCTTGTGCGAAAGGTAACCAGCCTACCTCCAAAAATGTAATGTCATCCTCGTGTCTCATCAGTGCCTGTACTTCGCCATTAATGGCAAGCGTCTCTTCAATGCTCTTCTCGCGCTGGGAGATCTGCCTGGTAATCTTCTGAAGCACGTGACTCTCCTCCGTTATGGCAAGTTGCTGTATACGCCCATGCTCAGTCTGCAGCTCCGTCACCGCTGCCTCCAGCGAGCTGGTGATTTTCTTCTTAAAATCCACCGACGCTTTCTGAGTGTCAGTAAGGGATAGGCAAAAGTTTCACTTTCATGTCGATAACGCAGTAAACATTAAATAAACAGAACTCACCACAATTATCTGTTATAACGTGTTAAACACCTTTCTTCCATCTGAGCAAGTCACTCTGTTGTAGGTTGTCAAAAAAATGGCCCTGCTTCTTGTATATCTATTTATGTGACATCACAGTAATATCTAAGCCACCAATTTTACATGTGTAAAATATGTTTCATGTTTAGCATACCGGCTAACCAACATAGAATGAGTAATTGGAATATATCCAGGCTATTGGATACCCAACTAATCCTAAGGAGAAATACATTCCAGTTTCAAATTCACAAAATAAAAATGTCCTGAACTAGCGCTTGCATTAAAGTTGTCTTGACTAAATAGGACAAATATAGGGGTGCCATCTGCTCCCAATTTCCAAATGGTTCAGTACAAAGACAACATTCCTCCGTATAGCCTTAGAGCAAGTGCTGCTAGCGAGCACCTATGATGGCCAGCACAGCTACACGAGGGGGTGGGTGGCCGGCACCACGCCCTGCCGCCTTTCTCCCCTCGTGGCGATGTTTTTACACACTGCACCAGGTACTCGTTTGAGGCCGAGCCGACCTAGGGAAGAATAAGAACAAATGTATTTATTGTAGATTACAAAATTACAAAAAAGAGCCAGCCTCCCATGATCGTTGAATAACGTGCTTTTTTTAAATCTGTGTTTAACGTGTGAACCATCTGGAGCATGGTGTTGAGCGTTAGAAATGTAAAATACCTTCACGTTTTCCTCCGTCTTCTTTAGAATATCCAGCTTTTTGCTGTCTGTGCCCTTAGCTGAATTGAGATTTTGAAGGTCACTGTACAGCTTTGCCTAAATAATACAAAAATAAAAGTATTTAATAATGGTCCAATATTGCACGCAGGCCTCTACTAAAAAATAATCTCGAGATTCGGGCTCATGAATAGAGGGCATTTAATAAGTAATTTAACATTCAAACTAAGGCGATCAAAGTTTTATCCCACATCCTTCACATTTTAGTGAAACTTAAGTTTAATATTGAGCAGAATCAAGATTTTGGATGTCCATTTCACACAATACATAGATGTGAATAATCATTAGTATCATCATGCAATGGCTAAGTGCCATGTCAGACTATATCCAAAAAGCCAAGTAAAAAACAGCCAAGTAAAAAGCTATTATCGCTTTTACTTGGGTATAGTCTACCAATTTGGAGTATAATTCAAGGTGAGATAGTTTGTTCACTTTCAAACTGACGTTTCCATACACATTGAGATACATGGTCTTCTTATATAAATAAGCCATTTTCTATAACTATAATAATAATCAAAATCATACTCCATAAATGAGTTGTATTTAGGCTATTTTAAAATCTTGAACGTTAATTTGCCTAATTTGTATAATTGCCCGACATTTCAATGTTTGCTTTCATATGAAAGTAGAGTATGATATATAAAATCACCAATGCCAAGGCAAAGCACCTTTGGAATTGGTACATAAACATCAAGGGATTATACTGACATTAAGATTTACATCAATATTAAAGAAAAGTAATAGCAATATCTCTGATGAACATTTTAAAATGTGGTCCTTCTTTGTTAGTCAATCCTTCACACAATTATCAGTGGCTGCCCTAAACAAAAAAGTACCATTTGCATCTGCAAGTTCAACCAACATATAAGACCAGGGTTGGACCAAGCCAACCATGATTTGGCCACTGGGCTAGTTCCGGAGTTAGGCCATCCAAATGCGGCCCAACTCAAAACTCGACTTCAATAACAGCCAGTGAATTATTTATGTCAATCGTATTGTGTGGTAGCAACATTCGACGATGGCTTATGAGACAAATGGGCTGTTGTCCATTTGTCCCATGAGTCCGACCCTGCATAAGACTGCCCGAGGAAGCGTGTTGTTCACAATGGCATGTGAACACCATGAAATAGAGGTCAAGACTATAAGCCAAGCGTAAATAAATTTGCCGGGGTTTCGTTTTTGTTTTCCTTCGTACCTTCTTACTGGTAGCAAATTCATCAATCGGCATGAGCTCGTGCCCACGGTGCTTTCCTGCAATGCAACAGACAGTGCACACGCACGCATTGTCCTGTGTGCAGTACATCTTGAGAGGCTCTCTGTGCTCGGGGCAGAGTCTGTGCTTCACGGGTTTGCAGGGTTTCACCAGGATGTGATGCCTAAAGGTCACGTTGACCAGGTGCGGCTCCAAGTGCTCCTGACACATGGAGACTGCACACAGTTGGCAGGTCTTGACGGCTTGCCTCTTTGCGCCAACGCACCAATCGCACATGATGGGAGTATTATTAACCGACACATCTTTAGGCACTAAGACGACGCTGGCGACACTTTTTGAACTCTTTTTTTTCTTTGGAGCCGGCTTAGGAGCTGGAGTGCTTAATTTTAAGGAGGCGAAGCTCTCCACGATGTTGGCGAGCTGGAAGTTCTTCTCCAGCTTCCGCTCCATCTCTTGTCTGTCCATGAAGAAAAACAACATGCGGCAGTGGGGGCAGTTGCTGGGCCCATGCTCCCAGGTTTTGAGGATGCATTCCCTGCAGAAGCTGTGCTTGCAGTTTAAAATAACGGGGTCTCGGTAGTACTGGAAGCAGATGGGGCACGTCAGCTCATTCTCCAGCTGGTCCTTCGATGCAGCCATTTCTCTAGCCCTGATCCACTCGCTCCCGTGTACTTCACACTAGAATGTCTTCATGAGATAAAAAAAAAACAGCAGTTATAAACTCAACTGAAACATGAGCATTAAAAAATACTTTTTAGTGTCATGAGACTGGTTACTTTAGATTTAGCATTTTTAAAAGGCCAGCAGCCATTTGACTACTTACTGTAAATATCAGCCCATTCACAGGTGATAAGGCACAAGAAAGGTAACAATGACACATGTTAACAGTGTTAGCTATCAGTATACAGTAATGTGCAAATATAACCATGGGAACAGTTGTTTCGTTTCTCATGACAAATTAGTCACAACATAAGAATAGATTTTACCCTTTCTGACAATAAAACAGGAGGTGTTAAGATGTTCAAACACCAGACAAAAACCTTTTGCAAGGAATCATGTACTGCATTAACCACACATAGTTTGTGTGTGAACATGCAAACAAAAACATGCTCTGGTAATATGTTATGCATTGTCTTTTGACACTTTGATACTCCGACTGATGCTTCTGTTGTTGTGGAGTAACTCATGCAGCCAGCTATGGCTCCAGGATTTGGTGTTACATGTTATTTATGTAGTTTATTGTTAAAAATTCGGTCACAGTCCCTATGATCACTGCTACGTTGGTGATTTCGAAAACGTTTTTTGGTTTGGACATGTATGTTTTGTTGTAGTACGGAGTTAGACTGATGGCCTTAATCTAAGTTTTCTTGTGGTTGTTGTTGTTTGACTTGCATCCCACTGGGATTTTTTGCACACAGCGTTGGTGTATGTGCCTTTTTTCAGGAATATTTTGCAGGTTTTTTTCATGGATTTTCTGTTTGCACAGTCACATAGTCACTTTAAGATGTTTTTTCTTGTTCGTGTTTTTGTTTTATTTTTGTTTGTTGTGGTTGCACCCGATTCAAGAGCTGAATAGCTCACAGGCCTATACCAAAATAAACAAACTGAAAATAAACTGAAACTGAAAACTTTGATACTGGCAGGAAAGGTCCCATGTTGTAGTCACAACGTGTAGCTTTAAGGTGTTATGAGACCCAACTTGCCCCTTTTAAACAAAACCAACAAAAAAAGGTTAATTTTTAGAAAAAATAGGATGCTGCATTTGTGCGCAACAAATGCAGCATCCTATTTTTCGCGGATGTCTGGATCTTCTCCTGGAGCGGCTTATATCTCCCGAAATCTGCGGCACATAGCGGCGGCGGGTTAAAAAACACACTGAGGTCAGTAGCAAGTCGTGATCTGTACAAGCGGTAGGGGCTGCAGTTGATGCGCGGATGTAAGACTCTTGTTATGCTAAACAATAAACATTTGCTTCGTTACAGAATCATTTGTGGATTTGTTATACTTGGAGATGAATGCGTATCAACGGATCCGCAATACGGTTCCCGCGGATTATTGGACTCCCGCTGTAACTCAGTAGCACTACAGAACTTAAGTGCGAACAATGTAATGACTCGATCTACGTTACGTCTCAATGAGCGATTACGTACAATGCAATACAGTCTTGGACTGTGTAGATGATGGCTCCACATCTTCGAGAGGGGAGTGTTTGCCCTTTCAATCAGTCTCCAGGATTGAAATCGGACGGAGAGATGCCGAGGCGTTGCAATCAAATGTTGATGTATCTATCACGTATATTAGTGGGGTGTTTACCGTACTATAATGAGCCAAGAATGTCTGTATGTCCCGCGTGTGACGTCACTCCACGTGGACCAGCCCTCCTAATTAATAATCACGAACAGGTGACGTCCTCCACATGGACCCACCCCCTCATTAATAATCATGAACGGGTGACGTCACTCCACATGGGGGGGAGGGGCGAGGCGACTCCTCCCCCCTCCTCGGCGTCAACTCACGACCCTCACTACAAAGGCAGAACCCTCACGTCACGTGATCTCCGTGACGCTGTTGAGACATCGAAGTAAAAATGACGTCATGATGAACAAGGGATTATAACCTTTACATTAAATAAGTCTGTGTCACCGCGGCCTTACAAATTGCACACGAATTGACGCAATGAATATATCACGTCGCGGTCTGCTTTACGCTTGCAAGCTTCAGATTTACTGCAATACACCTGTCAAATTGGACGTGGCAAAAGTCTCGTCTATAATAGATTTGCCCTCTACAGTACAGTACTGTGTCTATGTTGTGTGTCTCTCTCTGTGTGCATCTGTGTTGTCTCTCTCTCTGCTTGTGTGTCTGTCTGTGTGTCTATGTTGTGTGTGTCTCTCTCTGTGTGTCTCTGTGTTGTCTCTCTCTGCTTGTGTGTCTGTCTGTGTGTCTATTTTGTGTGTCTCTCTGTGTGCATCTGTGTTGTCTCTCTCTCTGCTTGTGTGTCTGTCTGTGTGTCTCCGTGTCTGTGTTTTGTCTCTCTCTCAAATGTAGTTCTACCTGATGACGGTTGCTCGTGTTGCAATCGAAACGTCGTACTCTATTGTTGAATTTATTTTCTCTTTCTACGTGACCTTACCGAAAGAACCAAAGATAAATTCCTGCAGTCACGAAAGCTTCAAATCAAGTTACATGCACGACTGTTTGAGGGCTCTGTAGTTTGCTTACACGTAACCAACACAAGAATTCCTGCACAAGTAAACAGTAGCTCATGCACAAACAGCACTGAAACATGCGTTACAATACTGGCTCCCAAGTTACCGTAGTACGAGGTGTCACTTAGGGTGTCACATTTGGGTGTCAAATGGCACACTGCATAGTCACGTGGATGAGACACGAACACACAATTGAATAATGAGTGTTTGTAAATATACACGGGATACAGCTTCATACCTGTCCACCCCTTATCAGTGCCCCTCTACCTTATAACAGACCAAGTCAGAACTTATTGGTCACCCCGTGCCCCTTATAAATCTCAACGTTCATCCTACAAAGGCCAATCACAAGGGAGAAACACAAACAAATAGACAAATACATGTTTTTTTGCCTGTATTGAATCGGCTGTACGCCGTGTGGACCTGACAACTCGATTTCCTTGTGCAAGAATACGGTGTTAAACCGTGTGGATTGACAGGTGTGGTATAATACACTACACTATACACTACTATACACTACTATACACAACTATACACTACTATACACAACTATACACTACTATACACTACTATACACTACTATACACCACACTACTATACACACTACACTACACTACTATACACTACATTACTATACACCACACTACTATACACACTACACTACTATACACATTACACTACACTACTATACACTACATTACTATACACTACACTACTATACACACTACACTACTATACACATTACACTACACTACTATACACTACATTACTATACACTACACTACTATACACACTACACTACTATACACATTACACTACACTACTATACACTACATTACTATACACTACACTACTATACACTACTATACACCACATTACTATACACCACACTACTATACACACTACACTACTATACACATTACACTACACTACTATACACTCACTACATTACCATACACTACACTACTATACACACTACACTACTATACACTACACTACTATACACACTACACTACTATACACACTACACTACTATACACTACACTACTATACACACTACACTACTATACACTACACTATACACTACACTACTATACACTACACTACTATACGCTACACTACTATACGCTACACTATACACTACTATACACTACTATACACAACTATACACTACTATACACAACTATACACTACTATACACTACTATACACTACTATACACCACACTACTATACACACTACACTACACTACTATACACTACATTACTATACACCACACTACTATACACACTACACTACTATACACATTACACTACACTACTATACACTACATTACTATACACTACACTACTATACACACTACACTACTATACACATTACACTACACTACTATACACTACATTACTATACACATTACACTACACTACTATACACTACATTACTATACACTACACTACTATACACTACTATACACCACATTACTATACACCACACTACTATACACACTACACTACTATACACATTACACTACACTACTATACACTCACTACATTACCATACACTACACTACTATACACACTACACTACTATACACTACACTACTATACACACTACACTACTATACACACTACACTACTATACACTACACTACTATACACACTACACTACTATACACTACACTATACACTACACTACTATACACTACACTACTATACGCTACACTACTATACGCTACACCACTATGCACACTACACTACTATACACACATTACTATACACTACACTATACACTAAACTACTATACACTACACTACTATACACACCACTATACACACACTACTATACACACTACTATACACTACACAACTATATACACTACTATACATGACACTACGATACACACTACACTACTATACACACTACATTATTATACACTACACTACTATACACACTACATTACTATACACCACACTATACACTACACTACTATACACTACACTACTATATACACACTACTATACACTACTAAACACTACACTACTATACACTACAATACACACACTACTATACACTACACTACTATACACTACTATACACACTACATTACTATACACTACACTACTATACACTACACTACTATACACACACCACTATACACACACTACTATAAACACTACTATACACTACTATACACACTACTATACACACTAAACTACTATACACTACACTACTATACACACTACATTACTATACACTACACTGTACACTACACTACTATGCACTACTATATACACTACACTACTATACACTACACTACTATACACACTACATTACTATACACTACACTATACACAACACTACTATACACTACTCTACACACTACTATACACACTACACTACTATACACTACACTACTATAAACACTACATTACTATACACTACACTACTATACACTACTATACACACTACACTACTATACACTACACTACTATACACACTACATTACTATACACTACACTATACACAACACTACTATATACACCACACTGCTATACACACTACACTACTATACACTACACTACGATACACACTACACTACTATACACGACACTAATATACACTACACTACTATACACACTACACTACTATACACTACACTATACACAACACTACTATACACACTACACTACTATACACACTACACTACTATACACACTACACTACTATACACACCACACTACTATACACACTACACTACTATACACACCACACTACTATACACACTACACTACTATACACATCACACTACTATACACACTACACTACTATACACACCACACTACTATACACACTACACTACTATACACACTACACTACTATACACTGCACTATGAAATGTTGCCCCTATCGAAACGGCTGTACGCCCTATGGACCTGCCAAGTGGATTTCCCTGCGCCAGAGGGACGCGGGGGTTGAACCGTGTGAGGTTCACAGCTTCACCAGTGCTGACATTCAACTCAACACCGAACCACTTCTAGAGCCCAATGATCGGTGGCACCACGCGCGGGTTACCTCCGAATGCGGATTTTAGTCGGGCAACTTCGTCTCTCGAAGCGAGGATGGAGAGACAAAGCGAGGGAGAGAGAGAGAGAGAGGGAGATAGAGGATAGGTGGGAGAGAGATAGAGATAGGTGGAAGGGGAGTTGCACGAAACGTTGACGAACTTCCTCTGTTGTGGAGGAGGAGGCGGAGGGAGGTTCCCGCGACGAAGCTGCTCAACGAGACGACGTCCGTGCGGGGAAATGACGAGCGATGTTTGGGGCGGGCTGGTGAAGGTTTCAGTTTTTCATTTCATTCATGAGGTGTAGAGCGCCCGTGAGCCATGCGGCTCTTGGCTCGGGTGAACAAGAAAACTTCCCAAAGTGACTGCAGCGCAACAGAGAAATCCAGGGGGGGGGGGGGGGGGGGAACCAGCAGAAGTCTTCCCGATAAAAAAAGCAGCTGTGTGCATAAATCCCGGTGGGATGCACGTCAAACAATAACAACCATAAGGGGCCGTCCATAAATGACGTCACGCAATTTTTGGACGATTTTTGACCACCTCCTCCTTCGTCACACGGCGTCACAAAAAGTCAGACCCCGCCCTCAAATATGACGTCACAAAGCTCTGCCCCCCCCAAAAAAATATAAAACACGCTTCAAATCGCTTTAAACTATTGTCATTGTAGTGCGTATTTAATGTGGCGCTGCACTCTGATGTTGTAGGAGAAAACATGTAAAATATATATTTATGTAAAGTTGCGCCTCTTGATGTGACGTAACATTTCTCAAGACCCCCCCCCCTCGTCACACATCGTCACATATGTCTGACCCACCCCACCCAGGTGCGTGACGTCATTTATGGGCGGCATTTGTAACGAGGGGGGGGTTTGAGAAATGTGACGTCACATCAAAATGCGCATCTTTAAATATAGACAACACGTTCTACTTATATATTTTATTATTTTATTGTTTCCCTTCAACGTGTCTTTACCGAAAGAACCAAGAATATGAATCACTGCAGTCACGAAAGCTTTAAATCAAAATGTAGAGCACAGTCCAATATTTTGCAAAATTCCTAAAGGACCCTGTTACTCGTTCTGTGGAACGTTGATTTAATTGTTGCCGCTGTGATCGGGCAACTTCTTTCACACCGTACGTAGCCAACCGTGCTAATCGGAGGCGTGTGGGATGGCCATGGGGTGACATGAAAATACACAAACAAAAACGAAACAATCTGATACCCTAGGTAAAGTACAACCGAACCTGACTACATAATTGGTTTGATATTTGGAGTAAACAGCCCTGCACCCCCAGTGTTGCGGAGTGTATCGTGCAGACACAGCAAGGCTATATCCTGTTGATGATTGCTTGTGTTGCAGTCGAAACGTCGTGAGAATTTTATTGTTACATATTTTTATTATGTTATTGTTTCCCTTCTACGTGGTGACTTTACCGAAAGAACCAAGAATAAGGCTATATCCGTCAAGCTGTGTGGTCCTCTATTATTATTTTTTACACCTGACAGGAGTAATTGTAAGAAAGCTTGTACGACCGTAACATTATTAAACTTTTAACTGTTGGAGTTGTTTTCTTTTCCAGTCATGTTACACACTGCATGTCATGCAAACAGGTTCAGTGGAACTTTGTTTGTAGTTTATTGGACATCTGTGAAAAAAAATTACTTTGTAGCTGTTCGGATTCCTCCAGTATAAAATACATGATCTGATTCTGAAATACTGTAATTTATCCCATGTGATGGACTGGGCTTTTGCAGTGCGTTAGTTACTGTGGCCTTGAAAGTAACGTACAACATTCATTCGGCATCAATACAGGTACACTTTACATGTACACTGTTGTTTGTAACGACAACCACGTGACACCGCTTAACAGCACCGCCCTTGTAAATACTGGAGTCACGAGTTCGGGTTATCTTACATGATTGTCGTGTTATACTGCATTCGGTGATGGTGTCACTTTAGAAAAACACACACACACACTTGAGAAAGGCAAGGAGAAGAAACGATCTTGATCATCCGTCTTAACTATGGTTCAAGAACAGGAGAGACGAAGAGGGGGAAAGATGCAGCTGGGTTTGAGGAATCTTGCGCTATTTATCTGCGCTTGGGCAGATAATTTAGCAAGGCTGGAGTACATCACCGCTATCTATGGTCACAGACTGAGATGTATATGCACGGCGCGTGCATATGACCTATGACCAAATCGCCTTTAAAAGCACCCGATCTCAGATCTTAAAAGCCAACGCGACTTTGAGGCTGCTTCGCTCTTGTGTGGGTGGCCACCAGGGCCTGCACAGGGATTGTGTCGGCATGGTGCTGTGTAGAGACCAGGAGAGAGATGGCAGTGTTGATTGTCACCCCTCATAAGCGTGGATTTGTTTATTTACTGGCACTCCGGTTACCTCCCATAAATGAATGAAATTAACCAAGCAACGCATTGCAGGGCCATCATAAAATAGTGGCTCGAGACTCAATGAGACTCTCCTGGGTAAATAATGGGCATTACAGTACGTATTATATATTCCTTGAATTAGTCTGTACTCGTTCTCTGTAATGTTGACGTGTTTGCTTTGGGGTTACTGTGGTTACTTACATACCACGCATCACCCTAAAATAGCCCGGAAATTAGCTAAACGAGACCATCCGCATAACAAAATAACTTGAACACAGAAACTGACATACAGTGCGTGCCATTATTTTGACATTTCTTTGAAAATTTTTCAGTCCAGTGTACAGCACAATAGAGCAAAAACTCCCGGCAAAATAGGGTCCAACGCTGCCATTCTCCTACTAATACACAGCACTGCACTTAGAACCAAACAGCGCTTCGTCATCTACCCAAACTCATGGTCAAATGGAGGACACAGTATCAGGGGCGAGCCATGGGACGCTTGAATAACCATGAAAAAAAAGAGGGTGACCTGACACTCTGTTAATCAACTGATGTTAGAGGTTCACTGAGTCGGCGTAAACGTATTAACTCTGCTAGTGGGGAAGTGGAGTGTCGCAGCGCAGAGGAAAGGGGAATTATTTCCGGTGGTCGCTGCAAGCAATTTTCCAGCAATACCAAGTCATGCTTTCGCGACCAATATTATCCATGACACAAGTTTTTTGGGGTTAGATCGAGTAAATATTCACGTGTTGTTAAAGCCGCCGCCACTACCACCAGACACAGCCAATTTAGTAAGGGTTGTCACGTGAACAAAACATGCCAAGCCGTTACTAATTCAGCACACCGGTGTGTTGGAGAGTAAACGCTGTCTTGTTAACGTCACAACCCTTACTAATTGGCTGTCTGGTTGGTGGCGGGTTTAACGACATTTATATGTATGCGATAAGCCCAAAAAAACACCTCGATTATGGAAGTTATGCTTTGCCTTTCCTAGTTTCCTCTTTACGGAAGCACATTTTGAATTCTGTACTCTTCCACGCTCTTTAATACGCTGATGACAGTCACTCAGCTAATGTACCAAATAAAAGGCGCTAGAAATATCGCCATCAATGCTGTCGCTTCGGGGGGGGGGGGGGGGGGGGGGGGGGGGGTAAGCCGTGTCCCCACTGACTTTAATGTGAAATGATTGCCACTGCTCTTGAGAATGATGAGAAATAACTACCATAATGGTCATGATAATGATCATGGCTATAGATGGCGTGTCATTTTAGTGACGGGAGAAGTATTTAAAATGGAACGAATCGTGCGCAGTTCTGGCTTACCTGCCTCTGATTTGTATGGGTTCCCCTCACCCCACTCTCCACTGCCAACGCGGTTATGAATTAAAAGTCTGAAACTACTAATATAAGACAAAAAAACACGCAAAGGTCTAATGATGTAAATGCTTACCCCGAGCCCTCATTACTTTGATAGTGGCATTGTCTTTGAGCTGTACGCCTTTTGGCGTCCTCTGGTCTAGCACCAATTGAGACGAGGCTCAAAAGAAAGCTGTCTCTGGTGTGAACCAATCAGTTTCAAGGACAATGCATGTATTATCAGAGCGTGTTTTTGTTTGCATTTTGACCACAAGCATTGTGGTTGATGCAGACATGATTCCTTGTAAAAAGGTTCCAGTTTTGTTGCCAGAAAAAAAAGGGGAAAAACCCTATTCCTAACACATGAGCCTGTTGGATACAATCTGAATGTATGAACCAACATTACTAGTAAAACACAAAAATCTAAATATAACCAAGGTCACTGCAGCCACTCTTAATAAAGGGCATTAGTTCTGCTTGCTTAGCTCTGAGGATAAAAAAAGTAAAATGCTGTATACGACTGTTTTTAAAACTTGCAGGAGGGAAACAATTAGTTCCGGTTGTGGTCCACATGTCACCGAATGTTACTGCTGGCAGCCTCAACTACAGGCACGTGCAGGCACACAGTGGGTCAGGCGTACGATGGAGGGGATTTTCAACTAATTCGACTGTATTATTGTTATAAGCAGCAACGGTATCGTGGAAACCAATCAAGGTGCTATCTAGCAATCAGCTACGTGTAATATTAACAAGTCTCTGAGGTGTGAAGCATATTTTTTAAAATTCACACAGAGTGGCATTTGTGTCAGTCATGGAGCCTTTGACCATACTTCGCCACGCTGGTCAGTACGGATTGAAGGGAGCACATTGCTTCCTGTTAAGTGCCTGGAAATATATATTTTGTAAGTATCTCCAGATGCCTTCTATGACTAAAAACTCATTTGATTAAAAAAAAACTATTTTAAAATATTAAATAAAACAACACTCCCCAAGATAATGTAAGCAATGCGAAATACCACAAAACAAAATACCGTATACATTTCTACACGCGCAAAGGACAAAGAGCGATAGAGCATCTGTGGTTGTTTTGAGACCACCTCCAAAAGACACACTTTGGTGTAGTGAAGTTATCAAGGGCATCTCAAATCACAATTGACGGCTTGCCTCTGGCTGTTGGACAGATGAAACACTCGGCACTCTCTGGCCAGCAGGTAAAAAGGTACCCGCCAGGATCAAAAGGGTTGCTTTGTGTTGGGCTCTTGAGACTGCCAAAGCTAGGACGTGACCGATGAAGGAACGTGGAGACCGTATTTAAACAGAGCCCTTCTTCAATCTTAACCCATGAGGCCAAGCCTGGAGCTGGCAATGCAAGAAACCAATCAGTCACCCTGGTCATCGGACATATTGGGTTGACTCGGGGTGAACATTTCTTGTGAATGATGGCCACAATAATAGTTATATATCCAGGAAGACTCACCAAGTCTAAAGTCTTTTTTTAGACGAGTCCTACAGAATGTTTGACCATTTTCATTAATTTAGGAGGTTTTTTTACATTCAGGAGGAACTCAGTATAGTACCTTTTTAAAAAAAAAACACACATCTGGGGATAATACTCAAGCACCATGCAGATGAATATGAAAATGAATTTTCTGTACTGCTAACTCCTCACTAACTTGCATCTCTGATGGCGTTGGAGCTTCTCAAATCGGTGTGAACCACCACACGGCACCTCCGATTATCACAGTTGGCTACGTACGGTGCGAAAGAAGTTCAACACACAACACACACACACGTGTGCCCATGTCCACGGCAAGAGAGATGTCTCCACTGAAATACAACATGAGGTTGGCAAATACAAAAAGTGTGAATCATATTTAAATTTATTATTTTTAACTGTTACAGAATAATGAGGTAAACATTACACGAAGCAACATACATTTAATTTGCAAATATTTAAGACTAAAACAGTAACACCTCCAAAAGTCAGCCTAAGGTAAAGTTCATGCTGCATATTTATAGAGAACACACCCCACACTTTTATATTTTAAAAGGCACATTTAGCTACAATAACTTTTCAAATGGCATGATACTTTGGACCAATTATTTTTAATTTGTAAATGAATATCTACGTCTAAAAATGTACAATACACACATAAAAAAATCAATTTGCATAACTTAACATTTAAATATCATACTTGTCCAGAACTAGTAATTTGTACATGAACCAACGAGCTGTGAAAGTTGGCAGTTTTAAACACTTTAGCTGTACTTGTTAAATGAATACATAACACGTAATAAGGTTATTAGCACATTAACTTTTTTAGCACATCCACCAGTTTATAATTCAAACCTTAGATATAACAGCAACACAAATATGGCATCACGAAGCAAGTTTGCTTCATAAATTGTTTATTTTGGCACTTTATTGTAGCAATATTAAGTTTATCTAAAACTTAATACTGGTAGGAACCTCCTGGTTACACCACCAGCCCACAGGGTATTATTGTGTCCGTCGTGCATCCAAAAATGGGAGGGGTGGGGCTGGGTGGAGAGGGGAGGGTGGGGAGGGGCTGGGTGGGGAGGGAGGGGCTTGGTGGGGAGGGGAGGGGCTGAGTGGGGAGGGTCGAGCTGGGTGGGGTGGGTGGGGCTGGGTGGGGGGTGGGAGGGGTGGGGCTGGGTGGGGTGGGGCTGGGTGGGGCTGGGTGGGGAGGGGCTGGTCACCCCGTGGTGCCCTTATAAAACTCAACGTTTAACCTACTCACGCCGGCTTCTGCCCGCCCTCACAGTCGGGCATATTTGCGGAATACACCACGTGGTGCCGCCGTTGACCCTGGCCATTGGCCGAGCAACCCAACGTTCTTACCAGCTCCTTCTGCAGGAATGTGTTATTTTTGCGTAGCAATGGGTGTGAAAATAGAAATGAATAAGCAAATTAAAAAATGTTAGGGGTCAATTAATTGGGGGGGGGGGGGGGGGTCACAAACATCTGGAGCACCCTGTACAAGAAGGTGATGACAAATACTAAGGTTTTACAAATTACAACAACCTACAGTACTTTGGTCAAGAGAGATACGGTAGTTGTAACATCACTACAGCATTCCGTACTCGCATTCACACTGACCCACAGACACACCTTGTTATTTCTGTGCGATTGATGGGATGCGATCTGGTTCAGCTCGATTGCTGCCCATCGATCACAAGCAATCGTTCGAGGTGAAATACTTGTGCAACCGGGTGCAATGCAGTCACGTAAAAAAAAAGACTGCTGTGGAAAGGACGATGGGAGAGTCAGCAAAACGGGGAGAGAGGTGGGTAAAAATTGGAGACCATCAAGCAAGAAGGTGTGATTATGTGCGCTGCTGCAGCCACGATTGATTACTCAGCACGAAAGAGTCCGCTGCAGTCATGGCCCCAAAACTGAAATATCTGGGCCGTGAACCATGACGGGTTTGGAGCCTACTACACACAGTGACGGAGGCGCAGGTGCACAGGCAAACCAATAAAATGTTTAGCGGTCCCAAACAGCTCAAGGTGCCCTGGATTCATCAAATATCAGCTCATATCCCAACAAACGTATCACGTTAATGAACATAAAATCCCAAATAATCGATCTCACTTCTATCATGTCTGTACGCTACTCTTACATCTCTGCAGTATATTTGTGTACATCTCTAGGCTATATTTGTGTACATCTCTAGGGTATATCACTTCTAGGATTTTGCAAATTGAAAGGGGAGTTCCCAAAAACAATTTATACTCAGGGCCCCCTCTGGGTCACCAGCAACAGCCCTGCTTACAGTGGCCTGAGGGTGGAACTCCATTTGGTATGATGATGAAGACAACTACCGCCTATATTTATCTCGACCACCTGATTTTATATTCATGTGGTTTCTCGATTCTAACTTGCTCGCTGATTTAATGAATGTGTCATTTGCTATCGAGTGTGCATGCAAAACTGGCAGCCCTGCTGCACCGGGTGCGATGATAGCGCGGTGAAATAGCGGCGTGCGTGCGCGTCCATCAATAGCCATACAATCGAAAATTCTTGATACGATCGCATCAATCTCACCGACACGACAGTGTATCTCGAGGCCTTTACCAACACCGGGAATGGGCATCTCACACAAGACGTTGGAGATCAGACTGTTGGTCAGCATTGGAAAAACAAAGCTTTTGAAAATTTTCTTTTTGCCATAAAACGTGATATATTAAAAAAAAATGTAAGCATGCAATGATGCATCAAATCATCAGCCGCAGTTTGATAGATTGCTAAGCTCATGACACATTTCTTGAATTGTGTTTGAAATTGTTATATTTATCTTATGAGCAATGTGTAAATTATATGCTAATTGTACATTTATCCAAACGGAAAAAAAACACACAATTGTGCAAATCATTATATGCCTACAACAGAGACAGCGATAAAGAAAATATCGCGTCAAGCTGAAAGCGCTAATTACACAAAATGGTAAATGGCTCGAAGTTTCAATGGGGGGACACCTGTGGTGCTGAATTGCAAAACAGCTGCTGTTCCCGCATCTGTAGGCACATGGCAAGGGTTCTATTTGACGTCCCCGATAATCCAATTAATTTTATAGCGTTCACAACAATGTAGTGTTGTTGCACCCTTGTCATGTGATGATGAAATTCATTTAATTTTAACACTTTTCATGCATCTTCTTGGTTCTTTCGGTAAAGTCACGTAGAATGGAAACAAAGTAATACAAATAAAACATGATAAATAAAATAAAATTCTCACGACGTTTCGGCCACAACACAAGTAGCCTTCTTCAGGTGAAGGAACAGAACTGTCGGGACGACAGCTGAAGAAGGCTACTTGTGTTGTGGCCGAAACGTCGTGAGAATTTTATTTTATTATGTTTTATTTGTATTACTTTGTTTCCATTCTACGTGACTTTACCGAAATAACCAAGAAGATGAATCCCTGCAGTCACGAAAGCTTTAAATCGAAACTTTTCATGCAATTCTGAGCTTTCTTTAAGTATACATATTAAACTCTCTGATGAGCATCAATGAAGGGGCAGGGGTGGGTTTATAATAGTTTTTGGGGGGGGTTATATCACGTAAATATGAATGTGCTTTTAAACCCGCCACCATCAGACAAAGCCAATTAGTAAGGTTTGTTACGTAAAATAAATCTGCCAATTAGTTGCTAGTTCAGCAGATCGTTGTGTTGGAGAGTAAACCAACGATAATATACAATTTGAATACGACGTTTCGCTGGTGATTTACATGACAAACCTTACTAATTGGCGGGTTTAACGACACATTTATATTTATGCGCTTTAACCCAACAAAACCTTTATTATGGATATTGGTCATGAAAGCCTATCGTATTAAACAGGGCTGGGTTTGTAGTACCGTATCCACATCCCAGCAAGTCGAGTGGCAGGCAGCAGCATCAGGTGAAGAGCATTACTCCTCAAGCGTGTACAGAGAATAAAGGACGTCACTGTGCATGTTTTTTTGGTTGCGCCGTACCGCGTATGATGTCTGAACTTTCACCCCTCATGCTGGGAGATTTTTCAAATTCATTTCCTAAAGAAGGCTCCAGCGCGTGGATCGGAACGTCAAACATCGTGCTGAACAACATGCGTTTCGATCAGAAAACACATTGTGTCGTGCAGTCGAGACAGCAGTTGCTTTTAATGTTGACATTTTGCCAAATAACAAATAATCACTGCCACAGCGATTATTCAAAATCTGCTATGTATTGCCAAAAAAATTTAAGAACATTTCATGTATAATGTATAATTGTACATTACATATAAAATTATTTAAACAGGAAATGTCTCCAATTACAGATTTATTTTTACAGCCCAATGGGCGTTTGCGCATTTGCCGCTCATTGCCGAGGTTCGTGGATCAAGCCCAGTGGCTGCCCTGGTTAATACTAGGCGCATATTAACAACAAAAAACGCGTCGTCTGCTTCAGTGGAAATTAAAGATTTCACAACATAATTCGAAAAAGAGTTGGCCCTGTGTGCCGGCATCACTGTTTTCAAATTTGCCAAATCACTCAATTGGCTCAAAAACACAAAGCAACAATCACTTCTCTTGGCCGGCTGTTGCATCCACCTTGGTTCTCACAGGGACAGCTGCCAGCGGTGGGGGGGGGGGGGGGGGGGGGGGGGGGGGGGTCCCCCTGCTGTGGGGTGCACCTCGAGATGTACCGCACAGAAGGCGCGGCACAAACGCATTCAGTGAAGCTGATCTCATATAAAGCATCATTACAATAACGGGACGACGTAGCAGAGGAGCAGCCGGCGGTGCCCAAGCCGTAGGCGCTAGGCGCGTGTCTCCGAACCGCCGTCGCCGCGGGCGCCGGCTGCGCCCGGCCGCTGAGCGGAAGCTCCTGGCGAGGACCGGCGTCGAGGGAAAGGAGGAGCGAGGTTTCTGCACCACGGCGGAGCCTCCCCTGCCGGTGGACAGCTCACCGGCGGCTTTCCCCTCTACGCTGTGGCGGATGCCGTAGCTGAAGTAGATAAGGAACCCTGCGTCGCAGTTTTTGGTCGAACAAAAATATATGAGGGGCGTCGCAATCTCACACCAACGGCGAAGGTAAGGACGGGAGAAGCAAATTCGATTGTTAAAGTTGCCACGCGAGCGTCGCACGACGTGCGAGGCGCGATGGATTGGGAGGACCGAATCTGTGGTCACAATCACGCATTCTGCTGTCCATAAATCGCGCTGTTGTTGCGCATCATTACTTTTACAATTGTACGTATGTACGTTGAACTTCTTTCGCGCCGCACGTAGCCAACCGTGCTAATCGGAGAGCAATCACATTTCGATTTAAAGCTTTCGTGACTGCAAGGATTCATCTTCTTTGGTTCTTTCGGTAAAGTCACGTAGAATGAGAATAAAATAACATAATAAAATAAGACAATAAAATTCTCACGACGTTTCGGCCACAACACAAGTAGCCTTCATCAGGTGAAAGTCGGGACGACAGTGCTTTGAAGCGCTGTCGTCCCGACAGTTCTGTTCTTTCACCTGATGAAGGCTACTTGTGTTGTGGCCAAAACGTCGTGATAATTTTATTGTCTTATTTTATTTTATTATTTTATTCTCATTCTACGTGACTTTACCGAAAGAACCAAAGAAGAGCAATCACATTACTACGATAATTATGAGGGCATAACACAATGCTAAAGAGGCGTGCCAACAATGCATGGAATCATAATTTTAGTGGGGGGGGGGGGGGAAACACGTGATAATCCACACGTAGGATGCGCTTGGTTCATTGGAACAGCTTCCTGTCAAGTGGCAGCAAAATAAATTTGCTCATTTGCTTTTGTCATTCACTTAATTTAGCTACCGTTCGGGAAAAAGCCTACTTCCTGGACAATTACCTCTTGACGGATACCAAGGTTTCTTCCTCGCAGTGAGTAACCGAGGCGTGCAGCACTTCTGTCCACCATACCCCACACCCTCACATGGAAATCGACTCATGTTGCTGCAAGCAGTTACCTTAATTGTGTTAGAAATACCACAACACCTCTCTTACGCAGCCTCCCTCATTTCATGTAAATTGATGAACGCGCGTGTACATGATTAGATGTATTAAACCACACCTCGTGTTATTATCAAGTCAGCCCTTTTAATTACAAGAAATTAATGTAATGTTGAACTTCTTTTGCAGGGCACGTAGCCAACCGCGCTAATCAGAGGTGCTGGGGCAGGACAATAAACTAAGCACAAAAAGCAGCTCCGAAGAAATGAGTTTTCAATCTAGACGGTGGTTTAAAAGTGCGTAGCGCCAGTGGCTTTCCTCGTATTGGAAGCGCATTCCAGACGCATCTGAAAGCGCACGATGCAGCGACCGTCTGTGAGGACGATCGGAGTTCGCGTGGTGGTTTACGCTCCTTGACGAGATCGGCGAGGTGTCGTGGTTCAATTGTCGCAAGGACTTTGTGCGTAATGAGTGCGACCCTATCATGTACTTGGTCAGCAACCGGAATGAATACTTATCTTTATCGACGGTCAACGTCGTCGCTAGAGAGCGCGACGGCCGGTGATCTGGGCAGAGGACTCGTGGGAGAGATTTCGTCCACCCCAAGAGATGGAGCGATGAAATCCCACGCAGGCCCTCGATGAATTTGCTCCATCGCAGGACCGTGAAACATGGTGGAGGCTTGGGAAAGCCTTCATGCAACGGTGGCATGATCATGGCTCAATGTTGAATCAGTTTTCATTCGCATTGGGTCATGAAACGAAATATTCCTAAAGCCTAGTCAGGAGCGCCACCTACAGGCGGCGAGCAGTATCCGCAGTGCAGCAAGCTAGAGCTGGAGCTATCCCACGTGTTTCTGGGTTGTACCGCGTGTTCGGGACGATGGCTAACGACTTGCACAATGCCTTCGGTGCTTTTTCAGGAGCATTTCACGTCCTGAAGAAGCTCTGCATTCAGTCCCTAAAGAAGCTGCATATGGAGCGAAACGTCGGACGTCGCGCTGAACAACACGCGGTACGAACCTACAACAAATCGGAGAGCTGTGGAGCACATCCGCGAAAACCTGCACATTGGTAGCACAGCAAAAGCACCCCACGTTGCGTACCTATGAGCATCCACACGGAGAATCGAACCCAGGTGCCGCCACTCAGCTGCAGCATGAGGTAGATGTTGACAAAGACGCTCAGCACAGGCAGGACTGGCAGGCAGGGCACCTGTCATCAAGCAGGGGGCAGAGCATGGCAGGTCGGTTTGAGTGTGACCTCTTTCTGTACAGCATTTAACCCCGCTAGAGATCAATCACTACGGTCATGACGGTATAATACAATGCTTGTAAAAATGCATCGAATCGTAATTTTAAATCAATAACTAAGCTCATGATACGTGGATTGACTGCTGTGTGTGAGAATTCTATACGTTATATGCAAATGCCACACGCACTTTTCTTTTAGGCCAAAGCGGCCAAACGTGTGCGTGAGCGAGGCAGAAAAAAATGACGCGTACAAATGAGGATGGGCAATAAATGAGATGGAAAATAATTTATTCCTGATGGTTACTGATGGTAACTCGGTTAATTACAGAGCGGGTTTGATTACTGCTATAAGACGGAGCAAATTTTGAGTATTTTTCCTGGGCACCGAAGGGAATTATAAATCTAATGCAGAATAAATTATCAAAAAGTGTTTACGACCGTACAGTGTTATAGCGGTCATGCTCACAGTATGTTCATGTAATGTTAGAAGTAAGACGTAGAATCGTGACAATTCATTAAACTGCTGAAGGGCCAATTGTTACAACAACAATATTGCGACTGCCGGCTTCCTGGAGATGATGGGCAGCCCAAAGCTCTCCACTACATATTAGGGCACTCAAGGCAACCTTGCAAGGGGGCAGTCAAAATGTGTTAAGCACAGGAAATTATATTCCGTCAGCATCATTTATCAACCCAACCATCTTTTGCCAAGTTTTATTCCACAGATTGAATCACTTACTGGCAATTACTATGGGCAATTCTTTTTTTTATATTCACAATGAAGGCAATTAGAGTACCCATCACGGTGTTATTTTTGAAGGTGGTTGTGTGGCTCGGGATCCTGGCGCTAAATGTGTCGCGTAAGTGTTACATCACGGGGAATGAGCCGCGGCAATTTGTTCTGTTTGTGTGAAGTGTGAGTGAAATGTATAGCCGAGATAAAAAAAATTGTAATTGTTTTTACACATTCCATCACGGTGGGGTTTTTATTTTTGTGAAATACTTTCGTCTGTTGCGTCCTTTCCACGCAATATTTTCTGCAATTACTCTCTTGCACTGTGCATTCCTTGTGAACTCGGCTATCTCTTTTGAAACAGATATTTGTTTCCATGGGTTCTCGCATTGTTTGCCTGCTGTGATGCACGTATCTATGCCAAATTAGCAAATACGCATTTGCGAACATTTCTTCATTACCCAAGTAGTCTTCAAAATTAACAAATGTGTTGAATTATTAAGCCACGTGGGAGCACGTAAAGGCATCTCAATATGGGGGCCCCCAGCCCCACTTTCCCCTCGATAGCTCTGCACTTGGGCCCATGAGCCCCAACGCAGTCCCACCACTTTCATTTATATTTACCAGGTAAGCCCTACTGAGCTATATGGCTCTTTTTCAGAAGCAACCTGATCACAAATGATAGCTCAACGAAGTGGCTTATCATCATGTGGACATTTGTCACAGCAGCCAAATACTCTAAACGCATGTTGATTCTAAATGTGGAGGGGAAAATCCGGAGGATCCGGAGAAAAATCCACACGACCAAGGGGAAAGAGAGCAGCCATCAGGATCGAGACTTCCTGCATACTAGGCGAGGGAGTTCACATCTCACCACCGTCGGCGCCCCACCACTTCCACATATGATCACGCCATCGCTGCTGCGATGCAGTGCTCTGCGTTAATCACGCGTTACTCGTGGAGAATTTAACAAAAAAATACATTCTGGCTCACAACGTGACATTGAAAGCACGATTACAATAAAATTAGGGGGGGGGGGGGCAGTGGGCGGGACAAGTTTGGTTTGCACGTTATCTTTCGTGACCAATATTATCCGTTATAGAGGTCTTTGGGTCACGTTGTGCAAATATAAATGTGTCGCTAAACCCGCCACCATCTGACACAGCCAATTAGTGAGGGTGGTGGCAGATTTAACGACGCATCATTTATATTTACGCGACCTAACCCCAAAAGAACCTCTACTATGGAGAACAAGTTTGTTTTTAATCTATGCTGTGGGTACCATGAACTCGACGCGCGCCCTGCTCTGTGGCTGTGCGTGGATGAGCAGCGTGGCGGCGCCAATGGCGAGGAGCAGCAGGGAGAGCGAAGCCACGACCCACGGTTTGTGCAGCACGGTGGTCATCTCGCGCACTGCCACCCCGCTAAATACACATGCCAGCACCGCTGCGGAGAGGGGGGACAAGGGTGGGGTGGGGGGGGGGTGGGGGGCGGGCAATCAACCCACGTACCGGGATCAGCAAATATTCCATAGAGAGGCTTTTCAACAGATTAGGCAACATCACCTGTCAATATATCAAAATCACCCGAATAACACGCGCGTACAGAGCAGCCCTGTGTCGGTCCACTGCAGGGTGAGGTTCCTCCCCGTGCCTTGCGGGTCAGGCGGGTTATTTCACCATACTTCACCACGCTGGTAAGCGTGGGTTGGTGAAAGTGGCGAGCGTATAACGTGAATTTCGCTGCTCTGCTCCCTGCCCGCCACAACCTACTCCGCAGTAGTCTGCCATACCTGTCGCGCATGACACTTGCCCATCCATGCACTGACCAGGCTCAAGCCTGTTTATCTGCCGAGGTCTTACGTGGTCAAGCGATCTTTCTGGGCGATTTCACCATAGGCTGTAATAATAATTGTAATTATAGAAAATATGGTTTATTTATGGAGCAGGTTAAGAGCTTTGACATGCACAAAAGCGAATGCACCACCACCATCAGAGCATGAGGACGATCGGCACCATGATAATTAACGACCATTTCTCCCTGATATCAAGAAAGGTGGACAAATTGTGCAACTGTCCTGATGGTAACTCGGTGAATTACAAAGCCAGCTTGATTACTGCGATAAGGAGAACATTTTTTTATATTTTTCATGAGCACTGAAGGAAATTATTAATATAATTCACTATAAATTTGCAATAATGTTTTACTGATAAGCGATGCTACACTGTAGTTGTCATGCTCATAGTATTTTAATGTATTGTTAAAAGTAACAATAACGCTTCTTTATACTTTATACAGCTGGCCAGGAGCACTGCCCAACAATGCACAATTAGCACTGCCCACTTCTTCAGCTGGTCTGGTGTAAATAATCCAGGCTCCGTGCAAAACTGCAGCGTTTCCAAACGCGACGTACTGCGCGACACCGCTGGAAAGCCCACCCCGAGTCGTATTTCTAAAAGCGCAGAATTTCCAGACACTGGGCCAGACTTGGGGGGGCTTACCGATCAGCCCGACGCAGCCGTTGACAACGAGAGCGGTGCGCTGGGTAGGCACGCGTGAACGTGGGAACAACAAGTCCCGGCAGCCAATCCGCGGCGGGACGGGGTCCGGTGTGCCGGCAGCCTGCCCGTGCGCCATAGACGTCGCGAGGAACAGCAGCTGCGAGCAGTTGTGCCCCATCAACGTGTCCGACTTGCTCATGGCCTGCTCGCCACTCACGCTCTCCACGATCACCTCCCTGCACTGGCTGTCAGGCCGATACCTGCGGTTGGCGCGGGCAAGAAGCAAAGAAGATCGAATGCCATTGGGATCGAAAACCATGAACAAATCCGAACACTGGGACACATGCGCATACACCGGGGACGTAGTAATACATTTCCTATAGTTTACCATTTAGCGCATGTCTTAATCACGCCATTCTTATAGAGCACGGCTCTCGAGAACGTGCTTTGCTTCACATGCATAGTCTGAAGGAGTTATGCAGAAGTGGGGCAACGTTGCTATGCGTAATCCCAATTGAGTCATTTGGCAGGACATTTTTCACATTTCACAAATTGTGACGTTCACGCGAGTGCACAGTCACCTTCCCTCTTAGAATGACGGCACGGGATCTTTAATGTCCACTGTGAGGCAGACGGCGCGTGTTTTACGACGAATATATCAGCGGCATTAAAGAGGGCGCGCAGCCTGCAAAAATTCGAACCGCGAACCTCTGCAACAAAGAGGTGAACAGGCTACCGGTGGGACCACGTACCGCAGGATGAGCACGCAGGCGGCCACCAGCGAGTAGGCGAGCAGAGTGCCGATGGACATCATGTCTACCAGATCCTTGAGGTCAAAGAGCAGGGCCATGACCGCTGGCAGGGGGAAGGAGGGCACCAGCGCACGTAGTTTTAACCACGAGTTACGTTTTAAACATTTCCGGTGAACTTTAGTTTGAGCCTTAAAAATATATATACACGTAATAATGACCTTCGTTGGGATTGTATTTCTTCGAACTTTATGATCGGCGTTACTTAAATTACCGGCGAGGCATCCGGCGGAGAGTGTTGCGGCAACAGGCGTCCGCCGCTCACTGACTCGTGCCAGGTAGCGGAAAAGCAGCCCGTCCCGTGCCATCGCGTACATAATCCGGGGGAGGGGAAACATGCTGCCCAACATGCTGGGGCATGGCACGGTGGGTAGGATAGGGTAGGATAGGGTGGGGCAGGGTGGGGCAGGGTGGGGCAGGGTGGGGCAGGGTGGGGCAGGGTGGGGCAGGGCGAGGACGTTTGTTTAGCAACACGTTTATAATAAAAATCTAAACTCGGTGAGAAAAAAAACACACAAGGCACAATGAGATTAGTGTGGATTTTCTTTTTCGGAATATAAATCGTTGACACAACCCATCTGGTGATGGCTTCTCGCTGATTTGTTTTTAAATCGCGACATTTGATTTGCAGTGGAGGGATGATTGCTGTACATACATCAAACTTTCATGCACTTGCAACTTGCTTTCACCTGTTCAATTCTGCACATAAATGCCGATGACCAAACCACCCTGTCCAAGATCGTCGGATCTCGTAAGCCGAGATGGACTGAGCCTGATTTGTACGTGGGTGGGGAACTCCCTTTTGGTTGTGAGGTGACTTGGAAATAGCAATGCATCAATGGGTTTCTGAATCTGTCTGTCCGGAGCACTAAGTGCTCCCCCACTTCTGGCATGTCTTTTTTTTCTGGGTACTCCAGTTTTCCTCCTACATGCCAAACACTCGTTAATGTAACTAACCAAACGTTTTAATGAAGGACCCTTTATAAAAAAAAGAATTCTGAGACTTAATGAGGCTTTCCTGGGTAAACGAAATACATTACGCAACACCAAATGAGAAAATACGCACGACAGCACGTCCGCGATGGGAACGGAAGAATGAAATCGGCTCATTTGCTGGATCGTTGCATCACAGCACCATCCTAAACGTTGCCGGCTTGGGGAGGCCTTCATCCAGCAGTGGAACAATCGTGGTGACAGAGCCGTACCTGGCGGAGAGGGCGCAGAGTGCGCCAGCTGCCACGGCATAGCGTGCAGGTCCCCAGCCCACAAACTGAAAAGCGACGGGCAGCGGGTTGTTGGGATCCAACAGGCAGTAGGGCATGAGCAGCGTGAGGGCGGCCGACACGCCAAAGTACGCCAAGAAGCAGAGCAGCAGCGACGCCACGATGCCAAAAGGGATGGCGCGCTGAGGATTGCGCACCTCCTCGCCTAGGGGCGGAGGGGTCGCAGGGGTCAAGTGTCACACGTGGAGGTCGCAGGGGTCAAGTGTCACACGTGGAGGTCGCAGGGGTCTAGTGTCACACGTGGAGGTCGCAGGGGTCAAGTGTCACACGTGGAGGTCGCAGGGGTCAAGTGTCACACGTGGAGGTCGCAGGGGTCTAGTGTCACACGTGGAGGTCGCGGGGGTCTAGTGTCACACGTGGAGGTCGCAGGGGTCAAGTGTCACACGTGGAGGTCGCAGGGGTCAAGTGTCACACGTGGAGGTCGCAGGGGTCTAGTGTCACACGTGGAGGTCGCAGGGGTCAAGTGTCACACGTGGAGGTCGCAGGGGTCAAGTGTCACATGTGGAAGTCGCAGGGGTCAAGTGTCACACGTGGAGGTCGCAGGGGTCTAGTGTCACACGTGGAGGTCGCAGGGGTCAAGTGTCACACGTGGAGGTCGCAGGGGTCTAGTGTCACACGTGGAGGTAGGTAACGGCTAAAGGTGCAGCCCCCGAAATCACTTGGTCACGCCACTGCTGGCGGTTAACAGTCGCCCCCACCCCGCCTCCCGCTAGAAGCAGCTCAAGAGAGTCCCTCCGATTAGCACGGTTGTCCTATATGTACGATGCGAAAGAAGTTAAATATACGTACATACATACGTATATTTATCTTCTCTTCCATGCTGGCCAGACGTCCCAGAAGAGATAGCAGTACCCACACTCTGCAACACACAACCTGCCGATTGGCTAAACTGTGGGTGTGTGCCACATTTATACTGCTGGGTGGCCAGAGGAGAAGGTATCTTTAAGAAACGTGCCCATTGTTTCAACCGTCGCACTGGGGGAGAGGTGGCTGTCATCAACAGGAGGTGAATGAATGCAAAAATCAAGACTCTCCTTATTTCCTACAAATCAATGAACGAGCGAATGAGCTGATGCATCTCGATTGCCATGAGCCGTACCAGTGGTTGCGATGCAGTCGAATCCCACAAAGGCATAGAAGCAGGTAGCTGCTCCCGACAGCATGCCTGTCACGCCGTACGGCATGAAGCCGCCCACTCCAAAGCTACTCGAAGCGTTCAATCCTGCAGGGATATTCCTAGAAGAGTCATCGAAAATCATAATGACATTCAAATAGGAATATGGCACATTAAAGTTACAGTAAAACCTTGGATTGCGAGCATAATTCGTTCCGAAAACGTGTTTGTAATCCAAAGCACTCGTATGTCAGTTGTGATCACGTGACGCTCGGCAGACAAAGCGAATACGTACACTGCTCGTATTGCAAGAACCTCGCTCGTTTATCAAATTAATATTTATTTAACATTTTTGCTCGTCTTGCAAAACACTCGCAGACCAAGTTACTCGCAATCCAAGGTTTTACTGTAGTTTTATTGACAGCGGTGGTTAGCAACTCACCCACTGTTATACGACGTAAACATGACGACATGAATCACCTACATTTGGTAAACGAGAGGTTACATTTGGTAAACGAGAGGTTGATGTGGCCAGAATGACGCGCCTGGCCGCCTTTGTCTTTCCAGTACCAAACTATACACAATATCTTAAAATAAATCATCTTAAGCTGAGTCAATGCAGAAGATGTCCACCCAAGGGTTCGATACCAACTGCTACCCACGTGTTGCATTCTGTCTAAAAGTCAAACCTGGGTCGTTGGAATCATAGCTCAGTGCAAGAACCACAAAGACGATGGACCCCCGCATACCCTTAACAGACTTTTTGGTGCAAGTGCTGTTAGCGAGCACGTATGAAGGCCGGCACAGCACACCGAGGGGGTGGCCAGACTCACTCCAGGCGATGTCTAAACACCAGAAAGAAAGTATACTATACAGCCAAACAGAAAGTGCTGTTTATTGAGAATTTATTCAGGTCCGCATGGTGCACATGTGGTCAGCACCACACCCGGCCGCCACATTTGCTGCTCCAGTGCTGATGTTTACACACCGCACCAACTGGCTCGGATATCACTGCCACTGGTATCAGCCGTGACCGCAAATTGACCTTGAGTTGCAAGGTTCGTAGCACAGTGCACAAACCACTATGCCACCACTACCCACACGTACCATTCATAAACGGTTGGCTGCGTACGGTGTGAAAGAAGTACAGCATATATACAAAAGACAAAAATCCCCCGTTATAGCCTTAAAACACTGTTGGGGCAAGTGCTGTTGGCGAGCACCTTTGAATATCGGCACGGCACACGAGGGGGTTGGTGGGCAGCACCACGCCCGGCCGCCTTTGTCTCCCTAGTGGCGATGTTTACACACCGCACCAGGTGTTCATTTTAGGCTGCTGCATCAGTTCAGGTAATCATCACTGGTCGTTGACCGTGAGCGGGAATCGATCCCCGGTACGCCGGGTTCGTAGCGCAGCGCGCTAACCGCCACCACCACCGCTCCCCGCAAACATACATGTACTGTGCATACATACATGTGTGCATGCATCGACACGCACTCACATTGCCTGTGTGAGGTTGGCCACGTCGTCTGGCGAGAGCTGCCAGTAACTGGTGTCGCCCTTGATGAAGCCGGCGATAATGACGAAGGTGAGCACCAGGGCGTTGATGCAGGTGAACACCTTGTTGATGATGGCCGACTCCTTCACGCCGAACGAGAGCAGCCCTGGGTGCGCGCACGTCAACGGAGCGAGGGTCACGGCAACGTTGGGGGAGGGGCATCACCCACCGCCGTACACATCCCTGCTGCGAGCGTCCCAAGAAGCCCCCGAACAAAATCCGGGCCGGATATACTTCAACGTGAGTTGCATGAAGGTTATTTTGTGTCATTTCTCTTGTGACAATTACAATTTTTTTTATATATATATACATATTTTTTTTTACCAGGTAAGGCACACTGAGCGACGTAGCTCTTTTATAGAAGTGGCCTGGCCACAAATGATAGCTCAAAGAAGTGGCTTTGTCACGTGGACACGCATAGCAGCAGCCAAATACTCCGAACGCACGCTTCCAAATGTGGAGGGAAAACCGGAGGGCCCGGAGAAAAGTCCACACGGGGAGAGAGACACGCAAACTCCAAATATACAGCAGCAGGCGTCAGGGTCGGGATGGAACCCACGACCTCCTGTATACCAGGCGAGATAGCTAACATCTCACCACGTGGGGAGAGAGACACGCAAACTCGAAATATACAGCAGGCCACAGGGTTGGGTTTGAACCCACAACCTCCTGCATAGCAGGCGAGGTAGTCAACATCTCGCCACCTCGGCACCCTTTTAAGAGAGACGTGGAAGACAAAAACAAAGACGCCCCGTATAGCCTGTAACAGACTATGAAGGCCAGCACAGCACACGAGGGGGTGGGTGGCCAGCACCACGCCCGGCCGCCTTTGTCTCCCCAGTGGCGATGATCACACACTGCACCAGATACTCATTTTAGGCTGAGTCGACCTAGGGGAGGCCCAGGACCGGTTCAGATAATCGTCACCGGTGTTGTTTGGCTGGGTTCGCAGCGCAGCGTAGTGCTAGCCGCTGCACCGCCGCTCACCCTCGCGTGGACGACAATGCAGGTGTGCACGAGCATCGTCGCTGTGACCCCGTTGACCACTGGGTCTGTGCGTTTATGCGTCGCGTCCACATTTCTCCGTGGCAGTACCGCGAGTTAACCAACGTGTAAGGCGGCATGATCGTGCAGCACTGACTTCAGAAGGCACCAAAATGTCTCTTCACTCAAACACAGGCACGGATCGGTCATTTGTTCGGTGGCTTGACAACAGCTGCCTTGACAAATAGCCATCATGATGGCAGTTGTGAAGTCGCCGGCTTGATCCCAGATTACCGTGCGCCGCGCATTTTGAGAAACGTCACGGCGGTTTTGCTCCCCACACACATGAAAAAGGCTCCCTGCTCATTCACAACCCCCACCTGCACCGCTTTTGCCGAAGATTATTTTCTCTTTCGGGTACAAAATGTGAATATTTAATCTTCTCTACCTCAAGCCCACGGCGAGCGCGTAAGTGCATTATGAGAGTGTAACGAAAGACCGAACCTCCTTTCACCCTCGGCCCTTTAAGCCTCGCCCTGATGAAAGTAATTTGTCTGCCAAACCACGGAGCAACACAATAGCATAATCACAAACATTGCCCTGACACAGACGTGTAACTTCCTTGTGTATAATTTTACCATAGTGCCGAGAATAAATATGCGCTGCTGCTAAATAACATAAATAACATGTTTGCCTCAGTACATACAGTGAGGGAAAAAAAGTATTTGATCCCCTGCTGATTTTGTACGTTTGTCCACTGACAAAGAAATGATCAGTCTATAATTTTAATGGTAGGTTTATTTGAACAGTGAGAGACAGAAGAACAACAACAAAATCCAGAAAAGCGCATGTCAAAAATGTTATAAATTGATTTGCATTTTAATGAGGGAAATAAGTGTTTGACACCCTCTCAATCAGAAAGATTTCTGGCTCCCAGGTGTCTTTTATACAGGTAACGAGCTGAGATTAGGAGCAAACTCTTAAAGGAAATGCTCCTAATCTCAGCTTGTTACCTGTATAAAAGACACCTGTCCACAGAAGCAATCAATCAATCAGATTCCAAACTCTCCACCATGGCCGAGACCAAAGAGCTCTCCAAGGATGTCAGGGACAAGATTGTAGACCTACACAAGGCTGAAATGGGCTACAAGACCATTGCCAAGCAGCTTGGTGAGAAGGTGACAACAGTTGGTGCGAATATTCGCAAATGGAAGAAACACAAAATAACTGTCACTCTCCCTCAGCCCGGGGCTCCATGCAAGATCTCACCTCGTGGAGTTACAATGATCATGAGAACGGTGAGGAATCAGCCCAGAACTACACGGGCGGATCTTGTCAATGATCTCAAGGCAGCTGGGACCATAGTCACCAAGAAAACAATTGGTAACACACTATGCCGTGAAGAACTGAAATCCTGCAGCGCCCGCAAGGTCCCCCTGCTCAGGAAAGTACATATACATGCCCGTCTGAAGTTTGCCAATGAACATCTGAATGATTCAGAGAACAACTGGGTGAAAGTGTTGTGGTCAGATCAGACCAAAATGGAGCTCTTTGGCATCAACTCAACTCGCCGTGTTTGGAGGAGGAATGCTGCCTATGACCCCAAGAACACCATCCCCACTGTCAAACATGGAGGTGGAAACGTTATGCTTTGGGGGTGTTTTTCTGCTAAGGGGACAGGACAACTTCACCGCATCAAAGGGACGATGGACGGGGCCATGTACCGTCAAATCTTGGGTGAGAACCTCCTTCCCTCAGCCAGGGCATTGAAAATGGGTCGTGGATGGGTATTCCAGCATGACAATGACCCAAAACACACGGCCAAGGAAACAAAGGAGTGGCTCAAGAAGAAGCACATTAAGGTCCTGGAGTGGCATAGCCAGTCTCCAGACCTTAATCCCATAGAAAATCTGTAGAGGGAGCTGAAGGTTGGAGTTGTCAAACGTCAGCCTCGAAACTTTAATGACTTGGAGAAGATCTGCAAAGAGGAGTGAGACAAAATCCCTCCTGAGATGTGTGCAAACCTGGTGGCCAACTACAAGAAACGTCTGTCCTCTGTGATTGCCAACAAGGGTTTTGCCACCAAGTACTAAGTCATGTTTTGCAGAGGGGTCAAACACTTATTTCCCTCATTAAAATGCAAATCAACTCATAACATTTTTGACATGCGTTTTTCTGGATTTTTTGGTTTTTATTCTGTCTCTCACTGTTCAAATAAACATACCATTAAAATTATAGACTGATCATTTCTTTGTCAGTGGGCAAACGTACAAAATCAGCAGGGGATCAAATACTTATTTCCCTCACTGTACACTGCATTACAATACATTATGCTCATTGAACTTTACAAGTTGGGGGAGAGAGGTTTGTTTCATCATCACCATTGTTAATAGATTTGTATGGCACCTTCAGAGCGTGTTGATGCGTCAAAACAAAGGGAAATTTGAGATAATCACTCAGTAAGGGATTGGAGAACACATACAATGTTCAAACACAATACAGCATAGACAATACGCACAGAAAATGAGAATGAATAAAATTGAAACGCTAACAGGTTATTGAGACACCTCTGGTTTTTATACACTTCACTCTATTTGAGTTCTCTTTTTCGATCTTGATAATTTAACAATCGCGTTTAATTTGCAACCATTGTTGTAAGGGCCTCTGGCACATTACTCATGCAGCGTGCCTCATCATGTTCAAATAAACCTACCATTAAAATTATCATCATGTTCAAATAAACCTACCACTATCAGTAATCGTAAACAATTGCCTTTCAAGTCAAAATTAACAAGGAATAAAAACCATGCACAAGCATGGATCCTGCAGCGGCTTTTCAACACGTGATTGTCGAGCAAGCGTGCAAGAAGCGGTACGTCACGAGGCCGCTATGAGCTTCAAATAGCGGCTCTTCCAGCGAGGGCGCAGGGTAACGTTTTAATCGGGGTAAGCCCCTGACAACAACACGACTTTACCCTGCATCAGAATCGATTATTTCTTTACGAGTCATCGTGACTCTTACAGACGGGCAGACCTAACGCGCCAACGCCTTCAGCTGCAGTTGGAAAGCGTTAAGACGACCACGGCGAAACGGGGAGCGGTCGATCACTCACCGGCGAGCAGCATGATGATGAAGGCGGCAAAGACGTCGGGGTAGCGAGCCAGACCCGGGGCGTCCATCACCATGTGCTGGCCGAAGAAGGCGCTGATGTGCCCCCCGATGAGGTCGTTGAAGTTGGCGCTCCAGGCTCGCGCGACGCTCGACGTGCCTGTGCCACGGGGGGACATCGAGTGCTTGAAACCCCTGAGGGTCTCAAACCCCCGCCGCTCGCGCCCTCCCGTGAAGGGGGCCCGAAGAACACCGGACGACAAGCAGCCTGGCAACAAACAGCACTGCTGACGGAGCGGTAGATGAAAATGATAATAATAATAATAATAATCAAACGAGTCGCTCAAATGAGCATGGTTATAACTGGCCACAATCCGTGGAATTCACTGTTGAGAGAAACAAACCAGAGCAACAACAAATACACTAAATCCCCGTCATATTTCAGGGTGTTTGGAGTGTGCCACTGAATGGTATAATAAAATAAAATATTAAATATTCCACTCCGCTTGCAGGCCTCGCCATTCTTACCAATCATTTGTGTAACTCAACAATGCACATTAAAACACAGTTGCATGTATATTACCATATTCAAAAACAATTCTACATCGCTATCTCGTTATTGTCCAAATGTCAAGGATGTTCCCTTGGCACGGGTTTAACTGCGCGACATGCTTTACCCGGCACGGCATGATCTGGGAACGGCAAACATTCACAAAGGGGTCTGAGAACAGCATGCATTGTGAAAAGGGCCAATATTTGGCAATAAATGACCCAAGTCACCTCTTGTGGAAAAGGAGTTCTCAACCTGTGGGTCACCCTCTCCTAGAAGGATGCAAAGCTGTGGCATGGATACTGTGCAGGACACAAATTCAGAATGTGCGCGGGGAAAGTTGGCATAATATTCCGACAAAAAAAACACAACAATACAAAACGTGAAACGAATGCCTTACTAACACCGCGTTGACTAGAGGCGTGGACATGTGATCTATCTTGAATGTTGTGGCCTTGGTAACCTGGGGGAAGTGGGGGCGGAGAGGGTGGCGGAGTCCAGTGGTCTTGATTAGGGGGCTTTATTGTTATGGCACCCCCCTGCCATAATAACAATTGTTGAGAATGACTGGCTACGGCTTGCCTTCACAATAGATAATGAAGTAAATCATGTTCACAGCCCAGTTCATGGGCAAAAATCCCCATCTCTTGTCTATAGAAGTCAAATGGCTCTAACCTGTATGGGATTACTGATGTGATAGCGTCCCGAACACTCTTTCTTCATTCAATTACGAAAATCAGTGTCACGTGACAAAGTTGTTGCCATTCTGAAACCCTCGAAGCGCGGTGCATCACCCTGTGTTGAAGAAAAGCCCCGCAGAAGCGGGCACCGCTGAAACACTCCCAAGGTGCACAAGCCCCACGACACGTCCCAGTGTTTTGCACCTCGGGAGGTGGCTTGGCGACCCTGCCCGGGCGGCGGCGCACCGAGAATATCTCAACGCACGAGCGAAGTTGCGCACGCACCGATCACGTACGACAGGATGAGGTTCCAGCCCGTGATGAAGGCCAGCAGCTCCCCGACGGTCACGTAGCTGTAGAGGTAGGCGGACCCCGTGCGCGGCACGCGCGCCCCGAACTCGGCGTAGCACAGGCCGGCCAGCACCGACGCCAGCGCCGCCACCAGGAAGGAGAGCACGATGGAGGGGCCGGCGTCCTGGCGCGCTACCGCGCCGGCCAGCACGTACGCGCCGGCGCCCAGCGTGCTGCCCACGCCCAGCGCCACCAGGTCGAAGGTGGAGAGACAGCGCGCGAGGCTGGAGTCGTCCTTTCTCACCGGTTGCTCCAAGGGCTTGGCAGAATACAGGGTAAAGGGGTTGTCGTTGTTGTTCCCGGTTTGAGGGTCTACGTGGGTAATTTGGAGGTCTTGGAATAATAGTGCAGCGGGCTCAAACGGAGACTCGGAGCGCAAACGCAGCTTTCGCGGGGCTGCGTTGCGGGCGGCATTGTTTCGCGGGGTTAACTCTGCTCCCACGTCAATGCTTTCGACATGCACGACCCGCATTGGCCAGAGTCGGTGAAATATGATCAAAATAACTCGCGCGACCCATATGGCGTGGAGAGGCCCTCGTTTAGCAGTAGGTTGAGAATGGGGCGAACACGTACATACCGCGCGAATTATTTCATCAATGTACATTGCATAATCATGTTACCATTCCACTGTAGGTATCCTTGGAAGTGTATGCAAGCACTCAGCTCACTTAGCGGTAAAAGCTTTAAGACCCTCGTGTCAAAGTTTGCGTTGCGCGCATTTCCAATCACGGCGTCGCGACGAGTTACCTTCCTGCGCAGGAGGCGAGTGACCACTGCACGGGCGGAACCGCGCCGCTCCATGGCGTACTCCGCTAGACCTTCGCGAAACGCTGTGGCGACAAACAAAACAATCTGAAGCGAGACAAAAATTTGCGACAAAAGCTAAACCTGCCCGCGATAGCACAACGCGAGACTCGGCGGCTTACCGGGCCCTTCAGACTGCGAGGTCCCACGGGGGGTGTTTTTTTGTAGAGTTAAAAAAAAAATTTGTAACGTGCACCCAACGATAACCACCGAAGCGATTAAAGCAAACAGCTTTGAAAGTGCATGGCAGATGGCACTGACCTGGCAAGGTGAGTGTGGATAATTTGGCACATGCAATGCGTGGTCACAACTGTGGAATGCATTGATCGAGGCGGCTAACCAATTAAAAAAACGCATAGTTTTTTTTTTCATTAGTTAGCACGGATCTTACCGTTCAACAACTGGAATCGAGTGTTGCACACACGTGGAGACAGGTGATACGCACATGCCACTGGTGGCCTTGCTGTTTCAGTGCCTTGTTCGGTTGTATAAAAGTGTCCCCTACATTTAGCCCTGTCCTTGTGTCGGCCTATCTGTTAATAACGGGGAGGGGTACAGCAACGCTTGTCAAGATGATCCAATGTCAACAAAACTGAAGCGTAATGTGTTGCTATGCAGAGCTCATCCTAAAGCAGTGATTCCCAACTTGTACTCTGCAAACTACTCTGGTGGTCCTTCAGGCCATGGGAAGTGGTCTGCGGAACTGTTGCAGACACTATAATCACGGATAGTTTCATGTTTTTTTTTAAATGTCTCATTGGTTCTTGGTGGTCCGCGAAAATGTTCTGAGGATTGTCGGTGGTGTACGGGCGCAGACGGCTGGCCTAGAAAGAACCGGTCAAACTGATCAAGGGTTAAGGCCCACACCATTCCCACCCAAAGCTGCTATCTAATCTCGCTGGCACGGCTTACGGGAACGTACATTGCTTCTTCCTGCGCGCCTGGCACGGGCACCCCCCATTATTATCATCACCAGTTCACACCTTGTGAGGACGCGCGCACGTTGGGAAGCATCACAAGATGCATTCATCTGCACGGCCTTTTCCTCGCTTAGTTAAATTTTTGCAAAAGGTCACATCTGGAAAACATTTTTTTTTATCTAACCGCCCTACAGCCAACGAGCCCGCAAAAGCACAGGGTAAACACTAAATATCCTCGTTCAGGAATAATTTTGTTCCTTCGACGCAATGTTTTCCGATGACAAAAACAGATTCAACACTGCAACGTGAGTGCACGGGAGACAGTTGCGTAAATAAACGTGTGCGCCATAACGCGAGGCATTTTATAACTCTCCCTCGCGGGCTTCACAAGGGCGAGCCTTCATGCATGTAAACCGCAGCGCGTGAGTAAGGCGCAAAGCGACGTCTCTGCTGTGCCCTCACAGGATGCCTGTGGGGATTTAAAAGCTGAGCCAGGAGGCCAGGGTGCGCGACACCAAGCCAACACCTCCACTGATAATTAATATGCGCAGTAGTTAGTGGGTCAGAAACGTGGTCATTCATGAAGAAAACTAAAACTGAGAAGTGCCTAAAGATGCGTAGAGCAATGCATGCTCACAATTACATTGAAAGGCAGAATCAGGAACACGTGAAAATAATAATAATAATACATTTTCATATAGCGTCGGTTATCCAAAACTGCATCTCACAACGCTATACAGGACAAAAAAAGAAATAAAATAAACAAACAAGTATATAATAGAGCGTTGCACGTATAAAAGCTAAAGATATCTAACTGATAATAAACGTCAATGGGCTTGGACAGGACATCTGGCTAGAAGGGACAATGGCCCGTGGGGAAAAAAGAACGATTGTGTAGAAGCCAAGAGACGGAACGCGTATAACGAGAGAGCACGTCCGCTGCGGAGATGGAGGGATGGAACGAGCTCGTGTGCAAGTGCTACACTGGATTGTTGCATCGCATGGGGTGGAGCGGTGGTGTAGAGGTTAGCGCGCTGCTCCTACGACCCCGGCGACCAGAGTTCCATTCCCGCTCATGGCCAACACCAGTGACGATTATCTGAACCGGTCCTAGGCCTCCCCTAGGTCGACTCAGCCTCAAATGAGTACCTGGTGCGGTGTGTAAACATCGCCACTAGGGAGACAAAGGCGGCCGGGGGTGGTGTTGGCCACCCACCCGCTCGTGTGCCGTGCCGGCCTTCATAGGTGCTTGCTAACAGCACTTGCCCCAAAAGTCTGTTAAGGCTATACGGGGGATGTTTGTCTTTGGATTTATTGCATTGATTGTGAGAGACGGTGATGCATTGGGGAGGCTTTCATCCAGAACTACATTGACCCTGGCTTACGATGATGATGATGAGTAGAAGTTAATGTAACAGAGCTCTTCCTGCATCCCAAGGTGCGTAAAGCATATTGTGTCCATTATCAATGTGCCTTGAGCCACACCAATCCAGGAAACGTACTGTGATTTAATGTGTTTTCATTTGGATCTGAAATTACATATCAACTTACATTCATTGAACTGAAAATATATGCACTGAAAATGTGACAAATAAGAGCATTTACATTCTCTTCGCTCAATCCAATATGGCTTTGATTGAAGCTTCTGAATGTTAGGCACGTTTCGCCAATGCGCGCAGCAAGATGTGAGAATTTTCAGTTAAAACATGCCAAGCAATAATGCAAGTTCCTATTAAAGATTCAAAAATAAAATCCTTCACCAATGGTGTAAATATATTCCAAAGTTCCTTTTTACAATGTCCCATTTATGAATCAATTGATAGACAAAGCATTCCCACACCATGTCAACAATATAATATTCTGTACATATAGTTGTAAAAAAAATACCTGACAACGGTTATACAATCACATTTAAGTATCTCTTAACCGCGGCCTCATTATTATATAAAGTTAGGATGCTATCAGTTTGTGTGTAAAGGGGCAAAGTTAGCGGACACTTAAAACAACAAAAAACTTTCACTGCACTTGGGAATCCGGTTTAATGAAATGCGAATGGAACCCAGATTAAAATTTAGGATCTCAGAAGTGCCGGCTTTGTCTTCTAAACTCTGAGCCAATCAGGCCACCTCCTGTAAGTCGTCGTAAATTTCATATAAGTACTGTATCAGCTTTTAACCCATTGTGTGAGTTCACTTGAAGAGCAGTATTTACGCCTTCCAAAAATACTGCAAGCAACTAGAAGCAGGAAGAGATGAGTGTTGGGGCATCAGCTTTGAAGATTTGGAATATTAAAATGATTTTAATTATGCACTGAGGAAGATGGAAAAAAACAGTGAATACAATAACACCTTATATTTCACTCATCACTCTTCATCCAGACATTTATATAATCGCTCAAAGAGCCTTGCATTTTTAGACACGTATTATTATTGTACAACTGATGAAACACTGAAACAAAATTGGACTTTGTGATCATTATCTTAAAACACATTTTTCCTCCCATTATAAACTTCGAATAATACCGTGGTATACACGACGTGTTAAAACAAAAGACCACGCTTTTAAAAAGGTACCTATTGTCAATTTCCTCAAATGTTATTCCGATTACGTTGCCGGCGTCACATCGTAAGGCGCAGCGTCCACTCTAAACCCTTGCAGAGCAGTGCCGCCCTTCGTGCGAGAAAAGCAGACGTTACAGAGCCACCCACCACGGAACCTTCACGTGACCTCTGGTCCAGACGGTTAGTGAGCAGCGCTTTCTCATCCGCAACGCATGTGAGATTGATAATCGTTTCATGAGTCAGACCAATAGTTTTCATTCTCAGAGCTGGAATTGAGACAAATAAAGTGATGCATAACTAATTGTTACGTAAAGTATTGGGTTTGTTTTGTGCAGCCGTTGGTAGCTGGCCTTAAACGAACAACTCGCTGGTTTAATCACAGGCAGCTACATGGATTCGAACCCAGGCTCTCGGCTGTGGCAGCCCAGCACTCTCGCATCTGAGTAACCCGACCACATCATCCTGTTCTTTTTTTAAAGTTAATGGGGATAAATTGAGCAATTCTAAACACAAAAACTTTCAGGACTCAGGAAGTAGGAAAGAGCTCAAATTTGGCTTCCACAAAGGTCGCTATAGCATCCTCACATTTAGAGTGGCATCTCTTCAAATCATTTATTCCACCGGACCAAAGAAAATGTGTTGATTATCCAGACAGTGTGAATCCGTATCCATTTTAGATTCACAAACCACTGCTGAAATTGTATATTCAACTCAGGTTGTATATACGTTGCATTTTCCTCACGGTCATTTCGTCTGAGATTATTAAAAAATGTTACCTATCCATGTTATCATAGGACACATAGCAGCTATAACACTGATTAATATAATCAACATATTGGTTACACAATTGCTTTTAAGTATTTTTAACAGCGGCCTCATTATTATAGCGAGTGAGAAACAATATCAGTTTGTGTGCAAAGGATAAAACATTTGCTGACTGATATTTGGGAAATTAATTCTCAAAAACAGCAAAAGCCACACAGCACAAAGGAATATCTACCCAGATTGTAACAGTGTACCGACTGCGACACTCACCACGCATAAATTAAGACCTGGTGTAAAACTAATTAAATGCAGGCATCTCGCATTTTATAATCACACGTGTACCACTACAATTACAAGATAACATATACGTGAGAGAAACAAAATGGGCTTTATTTTTTTCTACGAATTAAACTGAACAGAAGTGGGGAACAGAAAATATTGTGCACATATGGTGCACATGTGAAAGCCCTTGGGTGTATTAGATAAGCAAACAAGAGAGTGTGTGTGTGATCAATTCATCTTAGAAGTCAGCGAACATTAATGGGGAACTACTTGGAAAGGTGCCACAACTTCAAATGAAAGTGCAGTAAAACTCCTTTTTACCCGTGACCTATATTCTGCTTTTATCCGCAGCAACTAAAGGGTCCGCAAATTATACATCTTATTATCCCCTATTCTCCCAATGTAGCACGATTATCTCTGGGTTGTTGTCTCTCTTGTGGGGAGCGGTGGTGTAGCGGTTAGCTCACTGCGCTACGAACCTGGGCACCCGAGTTAAAT